AGGAACCGTGTGTCTGCTGGGTAATACACAGGCCGAGTCATTCCAGTGTTTCTTTTTCTTGTGGAGTTGTATGCTAGACCTGCCTTGTTGCTGCAGTGGAAGGAGCTCTTAGGTTCAGGGTGGTGATGCCACATTGAGCACCCACCTTTGTGATTTGAGGGGTGAACTGGGGGCAGGTTAATGCTATGAAGAACATCCCCCTTCTCTCTGCATTATGTGATGCACCGTTGAACTCCTCTGTTGTTGTGGTTGCGCTTGTGTCTGGTGGTCCAGCGTTTTAAGTGAAACGTAAAGATACACTGAACAAAAAGCATCCTGGGCATTGATACTGACAGGAGAAACCGAAACCTCTGAAGAAAGCAGGAGAAACTCAAAAGGAAATTGCTGCATATCTGAGCATTTAGCAACGGGATGCAAAGCACTGGCTGTTCAACTATTGCTGTAATCGTGTTTTGTGCGTAACGCTGTTTGTCTTGAGACTACTGGTGCAACTCTGGTGTTTTAATTAATCATGGAAAACCATTAAGTATAATTACAAGTTCTGCTGAGGATGTAAGGTAAACTTTATACTTCAGCAAACTTCATACTTTTGTAAAGCACTGACTGATGTGTTCAGAGTTAAATGTAAGTCCTTAGAGAAATGGCTGTGTATTTCCTTATCATTCAGGGGCACTTGCAGATCATCTGCCCTTTAGAAGTTTTACTCTCACATTTTGAATATCATAGTGATTGCAGCATCTTTTTTTTGATGTCGCATATGTTTGCTAGAAACCTACGTATTTAATGCCGATGTGGACCAGGTGGAAGATTCTGTCCGGTATTATGTGTTAGGCTTAAATTCTGGTTGCTTTTTCTAAATACAGCGTTCTGCTAGTAGTGCTTTCAAAATGCAACTTTGTTATTATTTAGAAAATGGTGTGTGTAAAGCAGGAATGTCTCTTGTTTTCCTGTTGAGCATGTTGAGATGGCAGAGTAGAGGGAAGGGACAGTGTTTACATTGCTTTGCTTCACATTGAGGGACTCTGAACTTTGAATCTGTATTTTTGGTGTTACTAGCACAGTGCTTTTCACAGGCTATGATGCTTTTTAAACCCCCATCCTCATTATTCCTAGGTCTTTGATGCTACAAACACAACTCGAGAACGTAGAGAAACTATTTACAAATTTGGTGAAGAAAATGGATATAAGGTGAGTCAAAAGCAAAGGATTTCTGAGCTAATGCCTGTGCAACTTTATAGTGATAGTGTCACTGTTATCTGTGCTCCGAGTTAAGAAGTGCACCAGCATAAGCTGCGCCCTTCCTAGATGTTCAGTCAATAGAGCATTTTGTGCTCTCGAGCATTGCTTGTGATGAAAAGCACATCCTCATTTTTCTTGTCCGTGATGTTTGTACTCTTTAGATCTTCTCTCTTTCACGTTGCGTCTTCACTCCTGTCGTCCTGGACCTGCAGTTCTGAGGGTCCTGTCAGCAAGAGCTGTGTAAAGTACGGTTCTTGGTGCAGTTCAGATTTGTGCTGCAGAAACACGTAGGGGATTCTGTGTTAGTTCTGTACAAACCAAAATCTGTGGCTTTCTGTCTCCTGCCCAGGATTGTTTTGCATTTAGCTGCTCTCTGGTAATTCCCCCTAAACTTGCTCTCCATGAGCAGTGGAGCTGTGAGACAGCAAAACACAAATATCCTTTTAAGTGAGGCTACTCCATTAGTTGAAAGGCTTCTAAATTACTATTTCAGAAGTATCAGTTACCGTTTTTATGGCTCAACGGGCAGCTTCCCTATTTCTTTTCCATCCTAAATTTTTCTCACTGCAAAATTTTTCCACTTATGATTGTTGAGGAAAATAGTATCGAGTGTGATGCTTCAGGGAATGGTAAGCCAACAATTTCTGATGAGAGGGTCTGGAGAAACTTTTCTGAGTAAATGGAGGGAAGTTTAAGGCATGGCTGTGTTAAAAAGGGGTGCGTATGGAAGTGTGCAACATGCTGCTCATGTGTGTTAGTCTCCAAGAGTGTTTTAATGCATCCTCTTTCTTCCTCCTTTCTGTACGTGTGACTTCCCATTTGGACTGAAGACTTTTTTTGTTGAGTCAGTATGCGTGGATCCAGAGGTCATTGCTGCAAACATTGTGGTGAGTATAGGAAAGTTTAACTGCTTCAAGTCAAGACATGTGAAGTAGCTCAGTATTTTTAGGAGGTACATTACAGGAACTTCCAGTAGCAAAAAAAGTTAGCTCCCATTAATGGAACACTTTTCACTTATTTTCCAGTCCATGTGTGTACTAACTTAGTTTAATTCTATGAAGAACAGCTCTTTTTGTTTTACATGTATTTTAATTAACTTCCAGAAGATAAGTTTTTGTGTTGTCTTCTCCCTTTTCCTATTTTTTTAAACTTCCATTAAAAAGGGGAAGAAACTTGTGCACTACTGTCCTGTTCTTATTTTCCACAGCAAGTGAAGCTGGGGAGTCCTGACTATGTTGATTGTAGTAATGATGAAGCAACGGAAGACTTCATGAAAAGAATAGAGTGCTACAAGAACTCATATGAGACATTAGATGAAACACTTGACAAGTGAGTGATGAGATAATACTGTGATCACGACTGGGTTATTTTACATGTTTCCTTAGGAGATGGAGCATCCTGTATCGGGGGTTAGGGCTTTCTAGTCATGTTTTATAATGGCTCGAGCTCTTTTCCCCTTGACGTATTAGAGAGCATTAACTCTGCGGGTGTAGCCTGGAAACTTGCTTATTTGAGTAAAATTGGCTAACGAGTGTACTCTGGGACAGTATTCTTTTTGATTTTCCCACTTGGAGGATGGTATGATTCTTCTGGGATCAAACCAGCATTTAGAAATTATTCCAGACTAGCTGTAGTGGTTGGTTGTTACTTGGCTTTTTAGTATGTGGAGGAGACCTGAATGATTGGTAAGCATAACTTCATTTGTTGACTTGGCTAACATCAGTTTTCAACGCATCAGACTTAAAAAGTGTTACTTCTAAGTTTATTTGTGTTTGCAAATTATCCTGCAGGTGCAGGGCTGTAAGAAGCTCTCGTAGTGAGGTTATTGGCTCTCATGCCAAAGCATTCATCTGTTTTTTGATCACTTTCAACACTTGAAAGTAAGGTAGGGATGAACCATGTGAGGACAAGCCTTGTTTCTCTTGCTCCAACCCAGGAATTCGGTGTGGGGTTTTGAGCTGCACTCATATCAAGTGCTCCAGGCTTGTTTCAGGACCAGTGCTGTGGAGAAGGCTGAGCTGCATTTGAATGTAATTGAGTGTAAGCTGTGTGAAGCTGGTTCAGTCGGATCAGTTGATGCATGTAATTGCTGCGATGGACCTAAGGGTTGTGCCTGGGTGGAATGGTAATGATTAACTTCAGAGAGCACTATCAGAGATGAGGTGATGATGCTTGCTTCTCATCACCTCCATTTGGTTTTATTGTAAGTTTTTTTTTTTTTGTGATGTGATGTCTCAGATGCAGCACTAGAAACCAAGAGTGGTTATTTTCAGCTTATGAGACTTTTTTCTCCTTTAAACTAGATGCTAGTCTGAAATTATTGCTCAGACAAGAAAGCATGAATAGTGAAAATTGAAATTATAAGCTGTGTGTTGCTGAGAGAAGGTAGTGGTGGAGTAGATTACAGTACTGTTAATAAGCGGTCGTTGATAGAGTGGCTGAGAAAATGTCTTGCTTCAGGCTGGTCCTTGGTCCTGCTGCTGCAGTGGCTGTTCTGGAAGGGTTAACTGAGATGTGTGCTAATAGAAACTATGTGGAACCTTACTTTTCTTCTTTCTTTGATCGTGAAAGGGATCTTTCTTACATTAAAATTATGGATGTCGGAAGGAGTTACCTTGTGAACAGAGTAATGGATCACATCCAGAGCCGGATCGTCTACTACCTCATGAATATCCACGTGACTCCTCGGTCAATCTACCTCTGCCGACACGGAGAAAGTGAACTTAACCTGAAGGGAAGAATAGGAGGAGATCCTGGACTGTCTGTCAGGGGGAAAGAAGTACGTGCCTCCTGAACCAGCATGACTGGGTTTTGTGTGTATCTGCACGTGTGCAGGTTGTGCTGTGGAATTACGGCTTTGTTCCTCTACACCCTTTTCCTCTCAACATGCTCAAGAAGGAATTTTTTAGTTGTGTATGTGGGTAGTGGAAACTGGATGGACATGCTTTGTGTGTTGTGATTTGGTACGTGGTCTTTTATCTGCCGTTCTGTGGGTTGTAATTCTTGTTACCCTACAGCACGAAGCAGTCGTCAGGAGGGCCTTATTTTTTAACTGTATTTTTGTAAAATCCTGACTTGCAGGGTAATTGGGAAGATTTGCAAGTTGAAGCTGAAAGGAAAATTCCTGGAGGTGTAGATGGGAACTGCAGAAAACCTGTGTGTGTCTTCTACTCCTTCCCTCCCCTCCCCTGTCCCTCTTGTCTTAACACAATGTTGTATTTCTTCACAAAAACTTCAACAGAGCCTTTTGGAAAAGTTATAATGAGTTTACAGGGGCCAAACCCTGTGTGCTCCAAACCGAACACAGTGTGTTGGCTCTGAGCCTTCATCCACTGTCTTGTGGTTTTTCTTTCAGTTTGCCAAAAGCTTGGCACAGTTTATTAATGAGCAAAATATCAAAGACCTGAAAGTTTGGACCAGCCAGATGAAAAGGACAATTCAGACTGCTGAAGCCTTGGGAGTGCCTTACGAGCAGTGGAAGGTTCTGAATGAGATAGATGCAGTAAGTTCTTCTTTTCTAAACATGTAATACATGGGTTTGTTTGCTAGGGATGGAGGAAGTAAGTAATTTTGTAATTATATGCCTTTTATGGGATAGAAAGTCACTTAAGCTGGTTCTAGAGGCTGGGAAAATTGTCATTAATTTCTGTTAGCAAGGCTAAACGTTTTAACAATGTTTGCCATCATTAATTTAGCCTTTGTTTGACTTTTCTAGTAAAACATTCCCCTGTGGAAGCCACCATGCTGTGAAATTTTTGGTAGGTTTGAGTTGGAAAGAAAAAAACCATTTCTGGTTGGCACTTTGCAGCTGCACCTGTCAGAGTCATAAGCAGGCGCAATACATAGAACAGGGACTTGCTCAGTGACCATATGTGTAACCTCACTTGTTTAGGGATGCAGTGATTCCTTCAAGCCACACCTTGAGTCCAGCTGTGTCCTGTTCATCATGCATAGCAATTTTATCTTTAAGTGTCAGAGTAACCAAACACAGTTGTTAAAGGTTATTTATATATAGTTTTATTTAAGAGTGATGTCTGCTTTTGGCACTGCTGGAAAGACGTGCTTTTTAATTATTTTTATTACATGTAGGGAGTGTGTGAAGAAATGACATATGAAGAAATACAGGAAAATTATCCACTTGAATTTGCACTGAGAGACCAAGACAAATACAGATACAGATACCCTAAAGGAGAGGTATGCTGATTTCTCCCTCTTAAGGTGCAGGCCTTCCTTGAGTACATGCGTGCTGGCTTTAGGAAGAAGAAGAAAAAAAGAAATTTAAAATTAATAAAAGGGTTGTTCCTTTCTGCAGGGGAAAGCACATAGGAGCTTGCAAGGACTAAGCCCAGACCATTTAATTTGATTCAAAGCTTGAAAACTAAAACAGTAGATTTAAAAAAAATAATTAAGGGCTTTGATCCTGTGGGCATTGTTTCTGTGCTGGTCCTGCAGTGATAGGGCAGGAAGAACGACGGCAAGGCTTCAGACCATTGCGTATGCCAATATACTGCTTTTTCTGTTCATCCCTGCTGTACATAATGGCAGCTTCGCATGCAGGTCTGGCTGAAATGCAAGGGAAATCTGTAGCCACATCAGTCTTTCACTTTAAAAAACTTTTTGCCTCTGGGAAAATAACTTGCTGACAGCTTTTCTAAAGCAAACCCATTACCGCGCATCAATTTCCAGATGGTCACACGGGCTGTCGGTGCGTGCTAAGGGCTTAGAATTGGGGCAGCAGGGTGGAGGAGTGATCGGACCAGCTGCTCCGGTGTTTGTGTCACCAGGAAGCTCCGAGGTCTTCTTTCCTCCACAGTAAAGAGCAATCACTGTGCTCGGAGCAGCTTGTGGTAAGAGCAGTGTGTGCCCCCTGTCTCACTAATGAGGCAGTCATTAAGCTGCAAAATTCTCCTAATCCATTCGAACAAGGAACGTTTGTTTTCCAGACTGATGCCATCTTCTGGGATGGTGACAGACATTTCAGACTGCCTCATGGCCTTGGCGTGGTTGGTCGATCTGCGTCCTTGGTCAAAGGCAGCTCCTCTGTCACAGGCAGCAGTCGCAGGGTTTGCGCAGCCTCGCTGGAGGCTGCTGGGTTTCTCTTGCCAAGGTCTGGATCAGAAGAGCGGATGGGTTTCCTGATGTGCCACAGGTCACTTCTCTGACACTGGGAGAAGTACTGCATTTTAGTCGGAGCTGTGCAAGTCTGGGTGCTGGGTGGATTTCCACAAATCGAGCAAACCCAATGCTGCTTTTCTTGTAATGTTTATATACGGAAGTTAGAAGATTAAACACTCCCAGTTACAGTGATTGGTTAGCAATTTACATATGATTACAATATCTGCTGAATCATTCCTGGATCAAACTGGGCCTGTGCAGGGTGAGGGTGGATATTTTAGTATTATAATAACGTCAGTTCACCTAAGGACACCTGCTTTTCTACTTTCCACACCAAGTCCATGGTTAAATGAAGGGCAAGTTAATTAGGTCCATTATTTCAAGGAACAAGACGTTCCCCATGTCCGTGTATCCGGGGATATTTAGCCTAGAGATGTGTAGAAGCTGTCTCTCTTTGATCTGGCTTTGGAGGCCAGTCCTCATTATTGTCTTGTCAGCAGGTAAGTTATCACACATCTTAGTACTGGAGTTACAGCTGCAGTGGGCCTTAGCAATTATCTTTATTCCTCAAGCTGTAGTTTGTTTCCAAGGGCTTTGTGGACTGTTTGTATCCTGACTGTAGGCTGGACTTCCCAGATTTTTGCTTGGAAGACAGATATTTTTGAAGATGAGGTATGGAAAATAATGTGCAAGACTTAACCTGTGTATTCGCAGATGCTGCGAATTAAATTCTAGGGATTTTGTGGACATTCTTGATCATAGTAACTAATTAATTAAAGCTTTTCCATGAGAGAGATTTATTTTGTTACATGCATGCTCTTTGATAGTCTGGAAGACTTGGACTTTATGTTCTTAATTTGGGGAAAATTATACTACAGTATTTGTCTGTGCACTAATGTAACATTTAAAAGGTGGCTAACATGAAAGTAAAATCCACTGTATACATATATACTGTTCAAAGAGTTTTCCTTTTTTGATGTGCTCTCTGTTTCTCCTCCCACCCCAGTCCTATGAAGATCTTGTCCAGAGGCTAGAGCCGGTCATTATGGAACTTGAAAGGCAGGAAAATGTGCTTGTCATTTGTCACCAAGCTGTCATGCGCTGTTTGCTCGCATATTTTCTTGACAAGCCTGCAGGTGAGTCTTCCTCTATACATTACAAGTGGCCTGTTTTTTTAACGTTTACTGGTTAAAGTTCCAAGCAGTGAATTCTAACAGTTTCCTTTATCATCAGAGGGTGGTCATACCAGGCAAGTACGCAAGTGTAATATTTTTGGTACCCATGTTACTTTGTGGGTGATTTTTACTGAGCTGCCCCTCACCTGAGGGGCTGTAATGTTCATTTTTCTGCAGCTGTTTGAATAGCAGCGCTAGGGAAGAAAACAGATTCACCGTCAGACAAAAAGAGACACTTAAGGGGTCTGCAGCATTATAGATAGAAAAGTGAAGTGTTTTTGTAGTCTGTATTTCATGTGTAATTTGTCGTTCTCTTTCTCAGAACAACTGCCTTACCTGAAGTGCCCGCTGCATACTGTCTTAAAGCTAACCCCGGTGGCTTACGGTGAGTCGTGTTAAGGATGTATAACGTGTAAGTAACTATGCTGTTATTTATGTCTGTGTCATCAGTAAAGTTTGTGAAGCATTGCAATTAAAAAACACTTTTAATGTATCTTGCTATAAAAGAGAACCAAACAATTAGGTTTGACGTGGCACGTGTGTCTGTACAGCTGCGTTAGAATCAGTGAATCCTTTGGTTTACATTTGCTTTGCTTTAATGCCATAAAATACCCGTGTATTAGTGAAGGCCTGGAACTGCCAGTGGCTGTAACTGCTAAGGACTCGGTTCCTCTGCTGTTTCACTAATTCTTCTGGCAAGCCCATGTCATATACACGTGTGGTACAGTCAAGTCTTGGGTTTTATTGATATATTTGAGGGTATCTCTTTTTAGAAGAGGGGCAGATTTACGTTTGAGTACGTTTGTCATCTTACAAAGCGTGTTCCCCTTACCCTTAAATCTTTCTACTCTTTTCCTGAAGTATTTGTTCATGGAGCTTTACATTACACAGGGACTTACCCTGTTTGTTGTTGTTGGCGTGTGTTTGTCAGTGGCTTTTAGCAGTGCTTCGCCCAGGGCTTTAACTGAGATCTGCTGCTGTCTCGTGGAGCGTGGGTTATGGGTTGCAACAGATACTCCTTGAGTTTTAGGCTGCTTAGTGATTCAGCCTTGTGTGTGTTTCAACCTCAGCTTGACATGTGCCTGCTGTTAATGCTTTTTCAGTGATGGCTTAATTATATCTTCTGATATCACACTTAAGATGATTTATAGACAAAGAGAGCTATCTGTACGCATTACCAGGAAATGGCTTGCCAAAAAACGTGAATCAAGTTATTAATCGGAAATGCAAAGCTGTCTTTGATTATTGGCTTTGAAAAGTAGCAGTCTGGACTTGTACTTTGGTTTTTGTTAAGTTTTAGATAAAGTTGAGGCAAAGTAAATAGCTGTTACACTGCAAAATCTGAGGAGATTTGTGTTACTTAATTGCAGTAACAGTCCTACAGAGTAATAACCATCTGTGCTTTCGTGACCTCTGGTGTTCATAGCCTTGCATGACAAGGTAGTTTTCAAAACAGCTTTTTGGTTGGTTGCTGGGTTTTTTTAAGTGGAGTGGCTTTCTATGAAAAGGCTAAGATCCCCTTTCTCCATCATGTAGTAATTCTGTGAAGTGTGTTACGACTTTAGGAAATTGGTGAGCAGAAAAAAATCTGAAAACCTGTTTGTGGTAGGAGATGGACTCTGGTATGTCAGAGGAATTTGGCTATTAATGAATGCTGTGTAGGGTAGCAGCTTATGAAAGTTACGTTCATGTGAGATACGACAGTGTTTGGCAGTAGCTGTTGCTTAAAATGATCACCACGGTGTATTCTGTAAGGGGGCCAGTTTATACCACCTGAGCAACATTTGTCTCTTCTGAATGTTTTTAATGAGAGTTTTTAATCTTTGGATGAAAAAGAGAAGTTGCTTTTCAGAAGTCAACTTGGAAGTTCCATTTAGCTGAGGATTAAAACTGTTGTGCACACCCAGAGGAGTGGGGCTGCCAACAATGTGCAGTGCAGCTTCTCAGAATCTTTTTCATGTTTTAAAGAATGAGAGCAGCATTTATCATCTGTGTTACAGCGAAATTCTAAGAAGCATAGGATGCTAAAAAACCCCAAAATTATGAATAAGAACTGACAATGTTGTTTTTAATGTATGGTTTAAAATGGGATTTATTTTTTTTTTTGCAAAGGAAATAATGATAAAACTAAGGTGAGAATAGAAGATGGATCATCAGATTGAGAATAACGTTCATCCTGGTGGATCACACTCATTCCAGTAGCTTTGGCTCTTCAGAGTTTGGGAAACTGGTATAAATCAGAAGCGGGAAGTGATTAACCTTCACCAACTCAGAATTAGATTGCGTCTTTCCTATAACTTCATTTGTAAAGCAGACCAATTCTAAAAGTGTGTTTTCTATCCACAGGATGTAAAGTGGAATCCATATTCCTGAATGTTGAAGCTGTAAACACGCACAGAGATAAACCTGAGGTAAGAATGTTTTTCAAACCCGAGAACTTGTTGTAATGTCCTGTCTGAGCTGATTGTCCCTGTGGTTAGAAATGATTTGGTAACTCCAGCTGAGTGTATTTAATTTTATGTCTCACTTTAACACCAATTTGCTGTTGAAGGGTGGGCGGAGAAAAAAAATTGTTTTTATTGAGCAGATTTATTTTGTGTTCGAGCTCTGGCTGGAGTAGTTTGTCTTAAAAAAATGAATGAGAATTTGAAGATAGGTTCTCAGTCTGAAAACTATAAATTCTTTCAGGCTTTGTCGTTCAGCAGATTTAGGGTGCAGTCAAAAAAGTACATTGTTATGAATGCCACCCTTATTTTGGAGAGAGTGACTAATGAAATCGTCAGCTTTTTCATCACTGCGACTGCTGCTGTATGGAAAAACAGGAGTTGGTGATGCCGCCTGTGTTTTAAGCCAAAGCTGGAGAGCAAGACAAGATCTCAGGATACAGCAGAACCACTGGGGAAAAGGCAGTGGAGTGTATTTGTAAAATGCAGAGATACGGTGTCAGACCACGGCAGCTCCATGCTCTGCCTGGCTCAGGCGCGCGGCTCCGCGTGCTCCTGAGTGCTGACGTGAGCTCACGTTGGTTCTGCTGCTCACACAAAGCTCCTCCCTTGCTGCGTTACCAAAGTGATGTAAACGTTTCTGGTTCCTTTGTAGATCCTCCTAAAGCCACCAGGTATGGCAGTGGTGGTCAATAAGGCACCAAATGCTTTCCTTTTATGAGGGTACACGTTTGTGGCAGTTGGTGTGGGATTCATGCTGGAGGGGTGAATACCTGGGTATTCTGAGTTCTGGAAGTGCTGACCTTTGGTCATTAGTAGCCGAGACATTTTCTGTTAGACAGTTGTATTGTGTATTTCCTCTCTCTGCCCCTCTCACCTCTGTCGTTCTGATTTACCACTTTTCTATCTTAGTTTGGTTTGTTAGATTTAGGAAATCTGTTCTTCTTTCACAGTGCCTAAAAGGTGTGGGAGAAGCACAGTGAAAACAGATGAGGGTGTCTTAGAGCAGATATTAGATAATCGGTGATAAACAGTGCAGATCAATTGAACACCTTTAGTTTGGCTGATAAAATATTGGTGCTAAATTTACAGCTTGCTGAAGTCCTTGGGAATTGCTGTTGGAAATACCACGTCTCCACATGAAGATGTTTATCTGGGGACAAAGCCCTGCCTGAATCACCAAGTGGCTCCTAACGTGTCTGGCCAGTGATGGTGTTGGTGCTGGGGGGTTGTATTGCACGTGTGTCATGCAGATAGTTGCACTGCAGTGGACACAAAGACACGAAGCTGTTTATTTAGAACAGAAATAGGAACAGTTTAGAAACAGAAATTTAGAACAGTTTAAAAAGAAAAAAAAAAAAAAGGAATGGAAACATTTGAAGAAACCCAGAGCAGTGTAGCATGGATGTTCATTTAGTAGGGCTGAATGAAGGGCTAAGTTGATCCTGTCTGCATTTAAATGCTGCTCGAAGGACTACAAAAGCTTTCATTTACATCACTTGTGAAAACGTTAATTACTTCTGTAAAATTAAATTTTCAAATAGTCTGTTGAAGTCAAAGCATTTAATTAAAGATAGCGTTGCAGATAACTGTGTTAAATAATGGAGCTGTTTGATGAGGAGTTGCCCAGTGTGCTGTTCTGTGCCCCCACAAGTAATTTGTAGTCGGTGTTCAGAACAGTGCGCTCCTTTCTGGCGTCAGCTGAAAGCCTCTGTGTTCACATTGCAGAAGTGCAGGCAAAGCAGTGCAGAGTTTGTTTATGGAATGTGTAAGCTTCATTGTACGATAATGACTTGTCTGAAGTGGGTTGAAGCCTTGTGCTTGTCAGTGTTGTAGTGGCTTAAGTTCCTGACCTTTTCAAATGAAGGAGTCTGTAGTCTTTTTATTGAAAATAAGTCAGGGACTCACTTTAACTGTTGCTTGGGTCCCCCCTTTGGGCCAGAAGACAAGCGCTGGGGTAAAATGTCTACTTTGCACCTCTGTGGTAGTGAGAGACAGGGAGAGTGCTCATAGCAAGAAACACAGGTCTCCTTTTTGATTTTGTGGCACAAGAGGAGAGGGAGATGTTACTGACAGCCGGGTTTGTAAGCCACAGTGTAAAACAGGTGAGACTCGTGAAACCCGTCAGCCCAAAGTTTGAAGAACTGACAGTGGTTTGGCCTAAAATGGGCCAGATCTTGAACCGAGGTACTGGCAGGACCATCGGAACGTTTGGCATAGTCTGCTAACCTTGGTAGAAGGGAGAGTACCAGTGGCACGGTCTTTGGGACTGGCGTGAGGTGGTCCCACAGCTGGAGCGATTGCTGAGCCTGGTTCTGCACACGTGTTCTTGGTTTGGGGTTGAAGAGTTTGCTGCATGGAACGTCTGTTTTTACAGCCTCTGCAAAACGAGGTGGGATCTGTGTGGTGTGATCAGTCTTGAGCGGTTTGGGTGTCTGGGAAGAGGTTTGTCTCTCTTTTCAGCTGTAGTCCATTGCCTAAAGCAAACCAATGTTAAAGTCTTCCCTTGGGAAAGAAGTGTATGGGGTAGTTCAGTGAAGCACCAAAAGCTGCTTAATCGATAGATGCGTATGTGCTGAACGAAGCACGTGGTGAAGTGGATTCCTGCTTGGGCCTGTAGAAGGCTTCCTCCTAGAAATGAATGACTTGAGCTTTTGGTAACATTGTCAGCAATAACGGTAAACAAGTTTTCCTGCCATCAAGGCCTGGAACGCCAACCAGGCATCAGTCTGCTGCATTTCTGGGGTGTGGGGGGTCAGGAAAACCTCTGCTTTTAAAGAAATGCAGCTGGGTGCTCGTGAAGGAGTCTGGTGTTTTTTTGCTCTTACTGCTGCATGATAAATACTCTCCTCTGTATTTTTATTGTTACACAGAATGTAGACATTTCCAGACCTCCCGAGGACGCTCTTGTAACAGTCCCTGCTCACCAGTGAATCCCGTGTGCTGACCAACTGTCGAACCTGGGGTGCTGTTTCCATCCTACTACTTCAAAATAGATTGAAAAACTAATCATTCCAATCACTTTGAAATAAAAAGGCCCCACTCAAACCCAACAACTCAAAACCCAACCCAAATGTTTGTACAGCGCATGACCTGAAAAAATTACCAAATCACAATAAAAGTGTGTTGCATTGGCTAATTTATTGTGGATGTTACCAAACCTTGATCGGCTGTCGCTGGAATGCTGTTTTCGTAAACTGCTATAATGTAAAGATCCTGCAGCACTAAGTTTCACTGTAACAGCCAGCAATCGTTTAATGTTAGTTACAGTGTGTTTGTGAAAGCCAATGAAACACAACATCCTGTGAGAGACAAGAAAAAGATGAAGTTTGTTTTCTAAGCACCAGAACAATCTATTTCAGTGCCCCTGGGAGTGATTGGACTGCTGTGTAGCATAGAATAACCCATAGTTACTGTCAGACCTTAATCCTGCTGATCCATAGCCGTAGTGCTCCAGATGCGATAGTTAATGATACGCTGTTTGAAGAGGGTAGCAAGTTTTCGCTTAGTTCCAGAACAGTTATTCAAGGTACAGGAATGCATATAGATGTTTTTAATACACAACTTTTTCTTAGCAGGCGTTCTGCATTAAGCAGACTTTAGGGTTTGCCCACCGGCAGAAGGGATTTTGAATTTCCTCTTTTCCTGCTCCCCGTGTGGATGTGGGTGATCGAATGTGTACAGCTCTGCTCCCTATGCTGTGTGCCCAGGTCTGATCTTGGCTACAAGCAGCAGTGTCGGAGCGTGGAAGCAGGGTTACCCTGGTGGTGGTGTACCTGGTTGTGACTCGCCTCGAAAGGGATGGGAACTGGAGGGGCTTCCTCCCTCCCCCAAGCGCGGGATCTCAGAGCAGCAGTGCACATCCTGGACTGGGCTCAGAGCCTTGCGCAGGCGGGAGAAGGCTGCAGCTCACGTGGGACGCGGTGCCGTGGCTCCTGTCTCGGCGGCGTTACCTGGGCAGAACGGGGCACTGTGTCGCTGGAGCAGCTCTGTGTAGTAGCATCGAGCCTGGGAAAGGCTGAAGCTCACCGAGTCCTGGACCTGCCTTCTCAGGGGGGTCTTTTAGCCTTGAGCGTAAGCGAGGGTGTTGTGTTGTGGACAGCTTTTATCTTGGGTTTCTCAGGTGGTACGTTTTTCCAAAGTAAGGCCGAAACCTGGTCGCCTTCCCAAGTAGCAGCGCTGTTCTCAGTGCGCAGTTTTCTCTCTGGATGCCCGTGGCTGTTCTGGCAGTGGAGACAGTCCCAGCTGTTGTAATCCAATCCAACGTAACGCCTGTGGGTAGGAATATGTTTGCCATTAATGAGGATAGCGGTCCCTTTCTGAGCCTCAGCTCATCTGGCCTTGCAGCTAGGGCTTACGAGACAAGCGGAATACCCGGGGCGAGTTTATCTGGGATGGGGTTTTCTTCAGCGTGGCAGTACAGCGTGCATTGCTCCTGCAGCCGGTTCCCCTTTGCATTCACTCGGAGGGGCTTCTTGCTGTCAGCTTTGTTGGCTGCGTATTGATATTCCCCCTTGTGTCTCTCTCAGTTGCTAAGATGCTTTTGTCCGATACCTCTTGTTAGCTTAAATAAACTGTGTCTTCTGCCTTGTCCTGACTGCCGTTTTTCCTTTTAGTTTCATGTTATAGTTCTCTAGTTGTTCCCACTTGAGGACTAATTTCCAGTGCATCTGGATTCCTGTGTTTTGATGCTCCATTTAATTTTCTTTGAATGAACAGCAGATGCTCAGCTTGAAAGATTTTAGTGACTATTCTTGGATTGCCTGTGGAGACATCTCCGCAGCCCCAAGGAATTTCTGGCTATGTTGCATCAGTTGCTAAGAACAATGAAAACGCAGTAAAAGCCAGCATATTTTGTTGGTTGTTTCCCCCTGCAGTCACACAGTGTGACTTGTTTCACCAGCTCCTCGTCTTCTTGGGCAGATGCTGATGTTTCAGCGTGGTTTGCTGCAGAGGTGGTACCGTAGAAGCTCCTTTCTGAGGAGCTGTTGCCTTTCCTTCCTTCAGGAGAGGTCAGCGTGGATTGGGCAGGGCTGGTGGGTGCAGAGGTTTCCAGGCAGCCCAGCAGCATTGGTGTTTGTGGCGCACGATGGCGACTGGCCCAGGGGTGCAAAGGCCGGTGAAAAGCAAAGGGCTGATACTGATGCAGGGGAGTTGGTACAGGCAGAAGTGATGCTGGCACATGTTAAACCCCAAATCAGGTCTGGTGCTGCTTGTTCATCTCCTGTTTTCATAAGAAATGGCTGAAAATCCTAGGAACCAGGGTTGGAGAATTACTTGCTTTTCAAGATGGTGCATTGGGACTGGGGTGGTTACGTGTGCTGTCAAGAGTCCCCCTGCTGTGTGCTGCTGGGGCACTCCTTTTGCTTGAGTTGGCCTGAAGAGACTTGTTTTGAAAGTAAACTCTCATAAATGTGGTTATAAAGCCACTGAAACGTTTTTGGTATCAGTGTGACATCTCTCAGGGCGCCCGTGCATCCTGAAGTGCATTTAAACTTTGTGTTGCCAGCTCTCCAGAGACCTTTCAGTGACTTGGCTGCTCTCAGACAGCATCAGAGCTGTTTCTACAGCTGTTGGTAAGGAGTCCTTTCCTGAGGTGTTGGAAACAAGGAGTGATGGGCTTCCCTCCCCTTGGGTTTTACCAGTTCTTGTGTGGTTTATGGCCTTTTCTGCATGGTCGAGTGTTTTCCTTACACTGTATGCATAAAGACTAGAAGAGAGAGTGGATTAGGAAAAAAGTGATTTAAAAAGGTGGTTAAAAGAAAAAAAGCCTTGAAAAACAAATGGTGTGCAGACCTGGTGTAATCCATCTCTTGGAGATGCTTTTTCCCCGGCGGCTCAGAGCCTGCGTTTCGGTATCTGAGGGACTTGGGCTTTGCAGAGTGCGCAGCGGCTGGGATGAGGGTCTGAGCCCTGCTCACGGGCCAGGACCTTTCCTTGCTCTACAAAACATTGTGAGGAAATAAGCATTAGAACTTGCTCGTCATTTGCTGCGTGTTAAGCAAAACTCTGTCTGGCTGTGATACTCCTGCTTTAAAGTCCTTTTTGTCTTCCAATTTGCAGAACGTAGGTGTGGATCGGTCGAGAGAAGAGGCTCTGAGGACGGTACCCAACCACCTATAGCTCTGGTCCCGGGGCGCCCGCCCTTCCTCCGCTGCAGGGGATGAAGTCGCAGCTCAGGACCCGGAGAACGAAGGCGTTGCTGGACGAACGCGCCCCCCTCCGCTTTGAGACATTTCGAATGTGGTTCAGCTTCTTTGGAGAAAACCCGTGGTTCTGGGTAACTCCCAGTGCCAAAAGGTATCAGGAAAAGGTGGCTGGGAAGCAGAGCAGAGTTGGGCTTAATTTTTTTGTATGTAAATTTGTGCAGTTTCAGTGGTTTTATTGTTCATCTGTGGATACTACAAGATGGTTAATTGCCCGTGTCAATTTTACTGTCAGATTTTAACTAGATTTACTTCCTTTTTTAAGTGTTTTTCTAAAAGCTCCTCTTATTTTTACTGTGAATGATTGCCTAGAATTACACAGAGATTTTTTTTTTGACGGCGTATTTTAACATGGGTGAAGTTCTACATTTTGAGCATTGGAGGCTTCACGTTGCAAAACTACTTTAAATGGGTAAGCTCTGTCAGCTTCGGTGTTTTGAATTGAGCTTTGGTTTGCCAACACAACTTGAAGTTTTTCTGAAATGGGGAGGCTTTCCCCTTGTGAAATAAAAGCATTAAAGCCACATTTGCTACCCAAAAGGTTCTGCTGTTTTAGCAAGACGTTCACATTTTTCAGGGGCCAGCTGTGTTTTGGAGGCCGTGGCAGAGGCTGTTTGCAGTGGTGATGTGTGAGTGGAGCTGGTGTAGTGAGTTGAGGGGTGCCACACCATCACAGGGCACCAGGAGCTGGAAGGGACCTCGAAAGCTCACCCAGTCCAACCCCACAGAGCAGGGGATCCGCGTCCCTTCTGCTGCGGCTGAAAGGGAGAGGAAGAGGATTCAGCTGCCAAAGGCTGGAGCAGCTGCTTCTCTTCCTAGTGCTGGGTTTTTTATTTTATTGTTTAGCCAATTTTTGGAATTAATTTCAACACAAAAGTCTGTCTCTCTTTTATAGCCACATTTAATATGTACATGAGAAAGCAGTACAGAAAGGTTAGGTGGAGTTTAACCCTTCTAACAGCTCATGCAAGAAAGAAAAGTACCAGGTAAATTCGGAAATAATTTTTAACATGGCACCTGCCTTGGGTTTTTTTGGTGGGGTTTTTGGTCACGTTTTTTTGCACCTTCCACTGTCCCAGTTCTTTGCTGCTCTTTTACACCTTGTGAAACTCCAGTGCTAAAAATGGGATTTTCTGTCCGTTGAGGCCGTGCTGAATCAATGTGCATTTTGTTCGTGTCAGACGAGCGAGCTGCCGGTGAGGAGAACTCATCTTGGATACTTGGTCTGTGTTTTCTAAGGACTTCTGTTCCACTGCTGAGCTTTTACCACGTATGGATTTGGGTGGGTTTATGTTGTGGTGTTTGGTTGTTTCCCGTTTTTCTCAATTCCTGTGTGAAATTCCACGCCCTTATAACATAGTTTTGCAGGCAAGGGCTAAAATTGTCTTTTGTTTGTGCAGGGTTTATAAGATAACGTGCTGCTGTTGTGATTTGTTTAATAAGCTAATTTCAGCGATATATTCAGCTGGAAGTAAGCCATACCGTATTGCTGGGCTCTCAGAAGAGGAATGTAGGGTACGGAATGACCAGAAACACTTGCTTTGCTTTGTGTGTGCCATCCATTTCAGATCTTTATTAACTCGGCTGTGTTCCTACTTATGGTGTGAGGGGAGAGACCACGCAGCACTGCTCAGAGAAGTTAATTTACTGATGTGTAGTTAACAGGGCCACCTCCGTGGCAAAGATGTAGCAGTAATTTCCCCACCTGATCTGATGCGCGCTCAGCGTGGGAAAGCTCTGGACCTCCCTGTCCAGCCCCGGAGCTGTTAAACAGGTTTTAGAGTGAGAAGGTGGGCAGATCCCAGAGGCTGCGTTGTATCAGCAGAGCAGGGGTTTACCAGCCCCCTGCCGTAATTCTTGAGCTCGGACCTGGTTGCAGAAATGCGGTGGAAGGGGAGGTTTCCCTGGTGAGCGCTGAGCCCAGGGGCTGCTCCTCTGTACTGGCAAGCACGGCCTGAGGTGTCTTTGCGCTCTTTCTGTTTTACCTCTCTCAACTTTCACAGGTGCTGTAAAATTCCTCAAGGCTGAATGTGTTCTGTACAGTAGGTATTTTTATAGCCTGCTTTTGAATATACTGTGACGAGTGTTTTACTAAGTGGGTGTTCAGTAAAAAGAATTGTACACAAGTGTAAATAAACTGTTATGCTGATACTTGAAGAGAAAAGAGAATATGAAGTTGTCAGTTCTGCTTCAGAAAGGTACTAAATCACTGACTGCATCCACCCGATCGAGCTGCCGAGAGCAAGTGCAGGCAACAGATGCAGAGTTTAAGCGAGTGCTGGGTTCTCCCAGGGCATAGCCCCCTTTCTGCAAAGGCACCGTCAGGAACTGCAGGTTTTTGTCACTGTCTGAAGGCTGCAAACGTGTCCCTGACCAATCCCTCCCTGGCGGGAGCTAAAAATCCTGACCTTGTGCATTTGTGCCTGTGTCTGTTTTACTGCCTTCCAACTGCTCGTGCACTTGCTAGCTCAGATGCGGTCTCTCAAGTAGCATTAAACTGTCTTTTCGTACATCGTTGGTCTTTGTTGTAATCTTTCAGACAAACGAAATCATTTGACCTTTGATCAAAATAATAAAGATCAAATGCTACAAATGGTGATGTGCGTTTCTCTCCATGTCCAGTGCTGGGGTGCCAGGTGAATTGTAGCTTGCTTAAAAGAGCTTATACATAAGAATTAGTTAATTTACTCCATTAGTTGCTTTACTCTCTCAATAATTACAATTTAAGTAACCATCTCAGTAACTGAGGCATAGGCTGAAAGAATTGACTAGACACAAATCAAGAGTGGCATGTAACAGAGGAGGAAGGTGAGACTTCACTGATTTTACTTGGCCATTGGTATTTTAAGGTCTGATCCACACTCTTAAAGCCATGCTGTTCATTTACTGTGTTCCAAATGCTGCTGCTTTTTTTGAGAAAGCTGAAAACCATCATTTAAGTGCTGCATTCTAGTACAAATTTGCATATGTAGGTTAGGTAGATGGCATTAAATTTGCAGGGGTACTTACCATTCTGAAAAATGACAAAATTAATTACTGCTTTGGGGTTTAGAATTATGTACTCTAATTTTCATGTCTCATTGATCACTCTCTGTAACCACTTGCACATTCTCTGCTAGGTGGAAGGAGAGTTTTCTTCATCTTTAGCTCTACTGTGTATTTACATTTGTGCGGGAGGTAACTCTTTTCTTTTGGAGCCCGTAGTCTGCTTTCTGGACAAAATCCTTCCACGCTCCCATGTCCCTGTAGCACCAGGATGGCCCAGACCATGGCACTTGAGCAAACCTGTCCGTGGTTCCTGATGTATCTGTTACTGAAATCGAGCATTTAAAACCATTTTGAACACGTGGAGATTATTGGCAATCTCTCGCCCACTGGATTTGATCAGTGCCTTTATTTTGTCACTGACAACTTCGATTGGGCTTCCTGAGCTTGGTGCATCCTTAACAAAAATCTGCAGATCCAAATTTAGCAAAACAATTCTCCCACTGCCACAGCTTTAAGGCACCTTCACCACACACATCACATTACTTACACATTACAGCGGTTTTTTTTCCTTTTTGGAAGTAATACAGCAAAATATGACAAAATGTTCCTTTTGAGTTTCCATTTTGAAATTGATGACAAATGGTTGTTAACAAAGTAATGCACTTATTCTAAAACATAACAGTGGTAAAGGATTACATTGTCTAACAAATAATGATTACTATAATCAACATTCAGAAGTTGGTATTGCAACAAAGCAGGATCCAGTTTTGTGTCCTTTTGTTTAAAGGCAACTGGACTTTAATTGCAAATTTCTAGAAAAAAATCATAAAGCCATGAATGAAAGTTTAATGTAACTTTCTTTTAATAGATAACAAGTAAAAGAACCAAAGGCTCAAACACTTTAAAAGACCTTTTCTGTACCCTAATGTCTTCTCTCGAGCAAAATATACAGCATGTATATCTATATCTATCTATCGATAGATACAGATAGATATATATATATATATAAAAAACAACTACATTCAAGTACCAAACAGAATTTACATTTCCCACAGAGAGAAAATAATGCACGTGATTCACATACCTTAAACCCAACCGTACATAAAGGAACACTGCTGGTAAATCAGCAGTTGGACACAATTAATTGCACCGCTGTGGATTATTCTGAAGTATTGACAGCATCGTTGGGACACAACACCTTGCACTTGGGAGGTCTCAGTTTATAACGGTTGACTCCGAAGTCCAGCTGTTCAAACACTTACTTGTCCAAGATCTGTTCAAATTTAGGGTTAATGAAAGAAAATCCATCAAATGCAGACTGGTCCATGGACTCGATCAGGTTTTTGTCACTGTAAGACAATTTTGGCTTCTCGCTCAAAAATTCTCTGTCGAAGTTGTTGTAGTCGCTTGCCGACTTCTGTGTTGAACAGAGAGGAAAGGCAGTTCGAGACAAACTTGGTCATTTCTTCCACAACAAATCGCTTAAATACAAAGGATAGCAACTCATTTCTTGGGCTCCCTCCCTGCTCCCCCTTTAGAGAAAAAAAACCCAAAAATCTCCTTTTTGCCTGTTTTACATGGCTTGGATTATAACTGGGCAGCTGCTTCTTGTTGGTTGAAAAGAAATGGCACCGTGTCCCTTTGGAGAAGAACCACCTGGATTTGTGGTAACGGTTCACGGCATCACCCAAAGATGCTCTGTTGACCAAAGCAATGCAGCACACACTTGAATACATTTTAGCCAAACTTTTCTTGCCATTAAGCAAAACTTTTAAATTCCTGAAAGCATTTTATGGTCTATGCTTGTTCAGAAAAAAAAATCAAATAAAAAAAAGCCGTGCCTGCCCTCTTGCAGGTGCTTTGGGTCTGGGTAAAACATTTTGTATGTTTAATAAAAATTCTCCTTACTAAGGACCATGCTTTACACTCTGCACTTCCAAAGGTCACTGCTTGCAGGATCCTCACATTTTCAGAGCGCATTTCTATGGGAACGTGCAACACGAAGCTGCCTGTTCCTGATGGGGACAGCTCTTTGTAGGTAAGAGCATCTTAAAGAAACTGCATCACCTCCAGATCATTTCGCCTGTACCAGTAACAGGGTGGAGGAAAACTGGTTTGGATTTTTCAGCAGCCAAGACGAAGCAGCAGCATCCCACAGTGATACAGACCACGAGTAATGCACGGTCTGTTCTTCACATGTTTTTTTCAGGTAACATCAGAAATAGCTCTAAGTTCAACAGTGGAGAGAATGCAGCTTTTTGCCTGCTTGGAGACTCTTGGAGGAGTTTGAAAGAGCATATTTATTTATTTGAAAGATACTTAATGCTTCAACAGATTGCCTGCAGGCACTTGCCAAGCAAGTATCCCCAAGTTACTGGTCCTTCTCCCACATGGCATTACAGAAGAGAAAAACACAAGGAACTATCAGCATTTCTAACACTGAGGCACATAAAACATTGTATTTTTCCAATGATCTAAAGATTTAGGAAGAATGAATATCAGAGCTATTAGCTGACTTTCCTGTAATTATATTTGTAAAGAAGCTCCTTGAGAGCAGGAAGACAGCCTTAATGGGAAGATCTGAGGGCAGTTGGAGGAATACATACATACATACATACATACATATATATATAGTGCACCTGTTTATAACTGAACCATCCAAGAACAACATTGTCTGAGATGCAGAACTCCCTCACTTACAAAATGAGGAGAAAATTGCAGTGGGATAGTTTGAACAAGTTAAGAGAAATCACCCTGTGCCCCTAGGCTGATGGTTTCAGTACGGCTACAGAACAAAGTACCCACGTACCACTTTTGGCCTGAATGGAGGGTCCACCTCCCTCTTCTCTAGCGCTGTCCAGTTGATGGTTTTGAAGAAAGGGTGGTCTCTGATATTCCCAGTGACCCCAAGTCGTCTTGTTGGATCCCTTTCAAATAGCTGCAAGAGAAGACACCCAGTAAAGCAGGGAGTAGGTGGCACTGGAAGAATAACGGGTATACTGATAAAGAAGAACATTCCTAACAGCTTAGTAACTAAGCTGACCTGGTGTTTAATTTTTAAAGTAATTTTCTCCTTTTAGAAGTCTAGATTTTTCCCTTGCTGGATAAATAACAGTACCGTGACCCACTTGTTGATCATCAGTCCTACCTTTTCTAATATATCTTTTGATTCCTTGGTAATCCAGCGTGGATAGTGAGGGGTGTCCACTCGGATTGACTCAAACAATTCATCTTCATCATCCCCATGGAACGGGGACTGTCCAATGAGCATCTCATACAGCAGGACCCCAAATGACCACCAGTCCACAGAGAACGTGTACCGCAAACCTTGCAGGATCTTGTTCCGCAGAAGAAATGCATAGGAAGAAATACAAGAAATTAGTAAAAGGCATCAATATATACAAAAAGACCAAAAGAGGTATTTTAATTGAGAATCTGTAATAACTAGGGAGAAAAAATAATCCTGCTATTTGACAAATAAGTGGTAATGACGCACATGTCATGTAGTTTTATCCTTGGCTGCTCTCAGTGGAAAGACAGCTCAGGTCTTTGCTCTCGTGCAGAAATTTTCTCCATTAACTTTAAATGGCCACATACTTGGAAAGCATCTTCTCTAGTTTCTTTACAAGATGATGGGAGAAGCAAGCAACAATGAAAAGTAGATTAATACCGAACAGACTGCTATAACACAGGGAATTTAGCTTAGTGAGATTGCCCTCAGAAGCTGCTTTTGCTTTGAATTCTGGTGGTTTGCATGGGCACAAGTCTGTTCACCACCTGCAGTGCACATGTATTCATTTTGTGGGAGCTCTATGTGTACCCTAGCTGTGAAGGCAGACAGGAAACCCAGTGGTTCAAAAATGGAACACTTTAACATTTCATAAATGTATTTTTTCTAAAACTTGCAGCTGTAGAATATTTACAAATCTCGAGTACCTTCTACAGAGAACTTGGACTTAATGGTGGGGGTTTTTTTTCTGTGCCAATTAGACCTTGACATTTCTGAACTATTGGTCTACATGGGGATGATTAATCACAAGAGTCATTGTAACATCGGTGTATTAAATCTGTCTCAGCAGTGGCATACTGACCTCGGGAGCAATGTAGTCTGGGGTCCCACAGAAAGTGCTTGCCTTGCTCTCGCCAGCAATGTTTTCTTTGCACATTCCAAAATCGGCTATTTTGATATGGCCTTCTTTATCAAGCATCACATTGTCCAGTTTCAGGTCTCTGCAAAAAGCGTTTTTAAAAAAAAAAGTTACATTTTTAAGGACAAGTGAGTCTTTTTTTTTATTCAGATGCAAGCAGTTTCTCCACTGATGAATACCCTACATCATACAAAGAGGCTTTTCAATAAAATAATCATCCATCAACACAACACATACAAAATAGTACTTTTGTACTTCGAAGGTGGTAGCGAGAAGGAAAAAAAAATTCCCTCTTGTCAGAGCAAGTAAGAGGCTGAGGCACACACACACACACACACACACACACACACACACACACACACACACATATAAAATCCTCCATGTTGGTTTTTCAGATCCAAAAGCACGCCCAGCGCTGCTGTTGCTTCTGGCAGGAGGTGCGAGTTAATGCCCCGGCAGCTGACGCAGCGCTACCCCAACTCCAGAACTCGGCGAAGGGCTGCTGGATCCTTGGAGTGGTCAGCACGAGTGTTTGAAGCCTGCCCAACTTTTAACACTACCTGTGACTTGTTCCTAGTTACAGCACAAGGAGGGGTGTGTGTTGTGGCCACAGTCTGTGAAGTGCCCTATTCATGGCTTTTTTCAGAATAACGCTATTCAATCAAGTGGGAGCTTTTTAACGGCAGTTTCCAAAAGCTACATTCCCCTCCCTTGGACTGTGATGCATTTTCTTGTCCATCTGGCTGCAGAGGCACATACCAAGGAGGGCAGGCTAAGAGAACATGAACAGCCCTTCTGCTCACCAAGGAAGACTTGAATAGAGCACAGAGTTTTACAGGAGAATGGGGCAGCCTTTTCTCCTTGGAAACAAGTTCCCAGAATCAGCTGCTTACACTGCTCAGTGAGCTGCAGCTCGAGCCAGGAGTCTGAGCTAATGCAACACACTTCTTGTGTGCAACTTGCAAGTGCAACTGCACTTGCCTAGCTATTCTGTATGGGCAGGCACTACCTAAAACTGCTCCAAGCCAGGTTCTGCCATTATAACTGGTAAACAGCCCCTGTGAGACTGGGAGAAAAAGTACCTTTGGTTCTGCTGGTGCCTTGCTGGAAAACAGAACCTTTGTCTGAAATGGCCCTCCAGGAACATTCTAATTAGATGTAGGGAAAATTTAACAGCAAGCCTAAAAATGCTCTAGAAAATCCTGGGATTGAAGTATTTTGTGCTGATGACAATACATCCTGGAGCCTGATCCTCACCTGCAGGAGGCAGCAGGAGTACAGCTGGGTACATTAAGTACCTTCCTGGGCTATGGCTGCCCTCTCTGAGAGACATGTTGTCTTTCAAGAATCATCCTTCATCACCAGGGAGGATCCCTGGAATGTTCATCCTCTTTACAAAAAAAACACTTTTTGTGCAATACTCGTGTCTGTCTTCAGAAAATGACTTTAAAGGATGGGTGCTCCAACAGAGGATTCCTGTTTCTGTAGATGGGGATGACAACACCAGATGGTTTGGGGCACATTTACCTAAGTTACCTTGGGTAACTTGTTCTTAAATGTGCAGCCGTTACCCTTCAGACCTGTTTGTTACAGAGGTAAGAGCTGCCTGAGCAAGTAGTTACCGAACAGCACTGGGGGGTGGGTTGGTGAAAAGGCTGCAGGAAGGAAACGGAGAGAAAACCTACGTGAAATAAAACCAACTTCTGCTCTCTTGTAGTGTGGGTATTCACAGTAAAAAAACAGCTGATTGGGATCTGGCCCCAGATGCTTTGACCTGGTGAGGCAGAAGCATCAACACTAGTTTCATGTGGAAGGCAAAAGCAGATGACTTTCACCTCAGTGGTTTTCACAAGGCCAGCAGGCATTGGTAGCCTCGAGGAGCCTCTCCCTTGCCTCCAAACAAAACAGGCTCATGATTTGAAGGCAGCGTTTAAAAATAACTGAAACAAAACCGCTTTTGTGTAACATAAATAACATTCCATCATCCTGGTTGCCAAGGAAAAGACACGCAGATACAGATTAATCTCAGGCATGCTAATGGGCTTGGAATAACATCAGATCTCTGACAGAGCTTGCACTTGTTACATCAATCAGTAATTCAAAGCTACCTGAGGTGCCAAGACAGCTCACAGGTCCCACACCAGAGGCAGCTGGTACTCACCTATAAATAATGCCTCTGCTGTGAAGAAACTGTAGCCCACATAAAATTTCAGCTCCATAAAACCTGAAAAGACCAAAATACCTTTTAACGTCCTGCTTAGTTAAAACACAGTCAATGCGGCTGGCCAGAAGAGCTGCCGTAAGCATCTCTTTGTGGAGTGAGAAGTGCTATGCATTTCTTTAAATACTGCTATACCTGTATTTATACAGCTGGATGCTGTCATCTGCAAATTAATTCCTTCACCACACATCTGTAGTATCTAATGCCAAACAGTGGAGGGGACATGACAGCAACTTGCCTTAATGCTTCCTTCCACTTTCATTAGGGAACAAGTTTTTGTGTGTTTTTAGTGAAACGCACGTGCCCGTTGACGGGCAGCTGCTGGGAGCACAATACTCGCAGGATTGCCCAGGACTGGGCACTAATGGCTAAGTGAGAAACACCTCACCTATCTCCCTCTGCACCTGCCCAGTTGCAGCAGACAGACTCAATTTGGGGGCATTCTCAAAAAAGGAGGTGATAATCCACAGGATATGAAGGAAAATGCCAAAAGAATGCCCCCAAAATGCATTAAACGCATTTTTAATTTTATTTTTTTAATTGAATACAGTACTATTTCCACTTCTGTACAGCAGAACGAATGTTGACACAAAACTTCAGAAGTGGGTACAGAAGATGCCAGGAGAGGCTGCCACCTGCACAGACGTTTGCTGAAATGCAGGGAAGTTAGCGGGGCTTTGTCCAGGTTTTTGCTGGGGAGAGCGGGAAGGGAGCTTGCCCTGACCCGTAAAGCTGGCTGCTACCAACTGCTATGTATGCCAGACCCCGTGCAGTCAGCGTTCCTTAGCACAGCGCACAGTAACTCTCAAGTATTCCCAGTCTGGTTATTCAATAGCACTGGTGCTTACAGGTAGCTCCGCACCCCTGCACTGTTACTGCTGAGGTCTTACATGCACCCATTCCATGCTACAATTAAAACCCTCATACTTTTGGGTGATAGAGGTAGAAACTGACCTAAAACTATAACATGATAGATAAAGTAACAATAATACAGTATTTTTGCATCTTTTAAGCCTTCAGCTGCAGTGATCTTTAAGCCATAGATAACTGACACAATTGCACTTGCTAAACCTACCCATTTTATTAGTATCCTATAGAACATGCATGTTATCCTTCTGTACTATCATACCAACTTAGCAATACCAGTAAACAATGCAAGTGCTGGGGTTTTTATCCCCCATCCTTTTTTCCCATTTTTTCCATCATAATACAGTCTTATGGGACACTGAAGCTGTACCTCATGCTTTTCAATGCTGGCTCATGTTGCAGTTTACTTAGCACCTCTAAGTACAAGCAAGCCCATAAAGTAAAACATCACACTGCTGTGCAAATTAAGAAAACCTATCATCACCTACACATCATTAAGCGAGCTTCTTCATTGTGTTAAACCAGTGCCTAGAAATAAGTTTTCAATCCTCAACCACTAAAACTTGAGTGAAAGAATGCAGGTAAGTAGTGCAGAACTAGAAGCAGTAAAACCACAGAGCCTAAAATCCTCCATGGAGAGAGGGTCTGAAGGGTTGGGGACTTACGTTGCTCTGTAGAGATCAAAGCGCCCCTTGTCTTGTATGTGAAACATCAAGTCTCCCCCATTCAGGAACTCCATAACAAAGAACAGATGATCCTGTTTGCAAATAACCAGAGAATGGAAAAATTACTGATGCTATTGCAACTACACATGAAGCAGTGATGCGGCCACTGGGGACCAAGCAGCCGCTTTCCTCCTCTCCTGAGGATCATGTACCCCTAAGACTGTTTGGGGCTCATACAGATTTGAGTAACCTCGTCTTGTATTCTGTGGTTTCCAGACTTAATAAAAATACACACTTAAACAGACTTACTGACTTCTACCTGTGACAGTCATCTTTTTTCCTCCCTCGTTGAGGGTAAATCTAAGATCAATGATTTAACTTAAACTGCCTCTTATCCCAGGCTGCATTCATGTTTTTCTGATCTCACTCTGTTCTCATCAACATACGTGGGGGTCATGCTCATACTGACTTTCCACAAGGCCTGTGAATGCACAGAGCACAAGAAAAGGAAATGTAATTCTTGCATCACTAAGTTACTTTTACTTGACTTCTAGTAACAGCATCCATTAAAAGGCTACATCTGTTGGGGTGCTGTTGCCATTGCGCTTTTTCATACCTTCGTCTGAAATGTGCAGTAAAGATGTGTGAGAAAGGGATTTTCCCATGCAAGTGCGAGGACCCGCTTTTCCACCATGGTACATTCCACATCATCATCAATTAGCACCACATCTTTTTTGAGAGCTTTGATAGCAAAGAATTCATTCTTCCCTTTCAGCTCAGCAAGCAGAACCTACAAAAAATAAAAGATGAGATAGATTACAGTACACGTGTGAAAGACTGTTCCTGATGTTATCGGTGAGGGAAGGTCAAAGGTGTTTATAGCAGGTGCAATGACAATTAAAAAAATATTTAAATAGGACAGATGAGAGAGATTTGGGAAGGTGAAGTTGCTGGGCATAGAGATGAAGAAGCGGGGCTCAAGGACCACGTAACAGCGGCACGGGCAGGTTTTCTGTCAATGGCTTGCGAGTGTACAAACAGAAGACATGGAAACCCTGTTCCTTCATCAGAGCTGAGTTTTCACAGACAGCAGCAGAGTCTGTGGAGGTTGTGCCGCTCTCCTACATCTCTCTCTGCCATTGCACTGCAGCATTATCAGGCTGTTTCTATATACAGTGTACAAACATAAACCACCCTTTTCGGCTGCAGTGCATAAAGGCCAATTCCCCTGCCTCAATCCTAATAACTGAAAAACTGTTGTGGGTTATGAACCACTTTTGAGCTTAGACAAGATTCAGGCCATTTCTAGTGCCTTTAACAATGCTGGTTATTTTCAATTCTGTTAAAAGATTATCTACCTAAGTGGCTGTAACAGGAAGACTTTTCTGGTTAATGAAAATAGCCCATCACATTGCAGAGATGAAGCAAGGCAGTAACCTTAAGCTCTATAAGTTTGTTACATACCTTTCCAAAACTTCCTTTCCCTAGTACTTTGTGGAAGACAAAGCTGTCAATGTTGAATTTCCTCCTGCTTGCAATTCGTGGCGCTGTCTTGGCTGTGCTTCCCTCCCACAGTTTATCGTACTCGCTGCTATCTGCTAATTGAAACAGGGAGTTTAAAGTTCAGTTTGTGCAGAAACACTGCATGACTCAGATCCCCCACTAAGAATTAAGTACTGACAAGCTATTTCACTGCATCTGCTGCTAGAATACTGGCAAAACTAAACATAAGAGTCAACTCCTGTAGTTTATAATGAAGTTTAAATTACACGAGCATACTTGATTGCATTGGATTTGAATTGAATCTGTGATTGTTTCTGATGCTGGGTTTAAGTAATACCTGAGTACTATAAAACTCAAAGGCCCTAACTTTCCCCTGTAACTAAGATACAGACCATAATTTGGAGAAACAGATGCTTTACAAGGACTGTTTGTAAACAACTACTTCTTCTGTTAACAGAACAGGCTAGTCCCTCAGCCTAGGCAGAGGGACCATAAGAAGATCTGATTTATGCTCAGCGTTGGCTAAGAAGCACGATCATACAGGAAAACCCAGATTATATCCTAAGATCAATAACCAGACTTTAATGTGACCTCTGCTGCCTAGATCTGTTGGGTCACCAACAAGACATCAATGCTAATCACGACACCATGTACACCCCGCAAGCTGCCTGTGACAACCCAGGGATGAATCACAGTGGCTGCACCATGACTTAGTATAAACTAAACCACCTTTGCAAGAGGTTTTTTCCCCTCTGTTCTGGCAAACCAGAACAAGTATAAGCAATATCACAACAATTTTCTAACTAGGCATTTCAACAGAATTATTTCAATGTATGGATGAATATTTAAAATCCTGTACCTCTCTAAAACCACCCATTATCTCTTACTGAGCCTGGCGATTCCCATCTGGCTAAAAGTTACTTCTACTGTCGCATTTATCTTTGCATAAATTATCACTGGTTAGCAGTTACAAAAATAAGGCTTAGGCAATGCTCAATAAAATACTATTGCTTTAGCAACGGTAAAAAAAAAAAAGCAAAACCTTACTTTGTACCTGTAGAGTTACAGGTACTACTGATACTGATACTACTTAAACTATTTAAACCATTCAGTCTCAGGTAGCATTTTGGCTACTTACATCCTATAACATAGCACCTGTCATTGTCTTTTATTATAATTAACAATATGCATGACATTCCAGTGACAGGAGGGAGGGAAGCGTGTTGTACACGCAGGTCTGGTTGCAGAGGCATCCTCCAGCTCTGTCACGGGGAACTGCGCTGAAGTGAGTGAAGGAAGCGTTTTGCAGAAAGGTGGGGATGCTCGTGGAGTCAAAACTACCTACATTTGTTTAAAGCTATATAAACATTTTGCACAGCCAGGAGAAGGTGAAAAGAAATAGATGTTGAGTTGTTGGTTTTTTAACAGTGCTTGTTAAAAAAATTGTCTAACATAATGTGAGAACTATTACCTACTTAAACCTTTAGCTTGTGCAGTCTGGTAGGTAAATGGCTAATTTAAAACATGAGCATACCTGTTGTATCTCCTCCTGGAGCTCTAGGTTTCTTATCAAAATCTTGATAAATACCAACACTTTCTACAGATCCAGAATCAGACCTTCGTGAAGATTTCTGAGGAGGAAGGAAACATTTTAAGTTATTATTAGCACCCTTACTTTAGAAATACTTGTAACAATAGCTGTTAAACGTACCATGATGGCAGTATGAACTTTTCTTTTTAATTATTAACCCCTAGTACATCTCTTTTCTCAAGAGGTCTGGTTCATAGACTGTTTAACCACATTCTTTACAGCTTCAGGTCAGCCAATTGCTTTACTTCCTTCACTGCAAGAAAGTAAGTAATTGAAATTCCTGAACAGTTTATGTGGAACTGGTCCTTGCAAAATTCTTAAAGGTATAATGGTGTGAATCCACCGGGGATGAATTTAGACTGTGGGAAAATGTCCCCTTGGACTAAGTTCATTTGAAAGAGGAGATGGGAATTGCTGTCACATTGGACATACTGAAGTCGTATCTGATGTGACATCTGTCTTTACCACACAGACAAATTTTATGCATGGAAAATTCCTGAAATCAAACGTGAACAATGAAAAGATCGAGCTTTTCTGTGCTGTGAAAGAGCCTTCACTGTTTTCAAAGTAAATATCCTGTGAAAGCATAGGAACACTCAGCTGAGAGGAAATACTGCTGGCTTTTGTGATATATTTTCCCCTTTTATTTCAGAGCTTGTGTCTGAAGTTGACCACAAGAGACAGCCATGCCACAGCAGGAGATCAACAACGTAAACCATGGTGTCAGTGTTATTTCCAGAGGAGTTTTCTCTATGTATAGATCAGATTAACAAAAAAATGAGAATATCTGGTATATTTCTCCTTATTTAATTAATTTTAGCATTCAAGTGGAATTCTAAAGTTGACGCATGGAAAAACAGACTTCAGCTTTTATACCACGGTTTAAACAATTAAACAGAAAGGGAGAGAATAACCTTGGAACGACAGAAGAACAAAGTTGGATTTCAGGAAACCATACACCTTTACAAAAATTCTTTGTTAGGTGGGATTTTTTTCCCCCTCTCAATTTCAACTTTAGGCTACTGACATCCTTGTCTCTTTACAGGTCAAATTAAAAGGAGAAATCTGCCTTTCCTCCATTCCAAATTCAGTTCTCCAGAAAAGTGATACGGAAAAGACGAAGTAAAAACCCAAAAATGCACTGAAAAACAACTAATTACCTGAAAAATGGCAATAAAACATACCTGGCTGACTTGATTTAAAGCTTCAGCTAGCAGCTTCTGGTTTATCCCACATAAGTTTGCCACCTTCTTCTGGCACTTATGATGTACGTTCATCCCACATTCTAAAAGAAACATCAGGATGGTTATACAGGCATCAGAAACACACTGTCCAGCATTACAACAAAAAGGGCCGTTTCTCTGTGCAGTTCAGAAGCTTTGTTTTTAGAACAGATTGGACATGGATCTATCATTTTTAATAAAATTGCCGTTTTAATCTTAACTCAATGAAGTCTACACAAGGAAATAAAACTCCAATCATCATCACTTTATTCTCAAAATCTATAAAGATCATCTTGCCTTTCTATGGGAGAATTATAGAAGCGGTATTTACAGTAAACGCTTTCAGTACACTTTTAGACGCTATCTTGAGTCATACTCATCAAATTTCAGCTATTCCCAAAGCAGCAATTTTGATTATACTCAAGTCTCCACCTCCACATGTTTTCTTCCTGCATTAGAAGCTCACCTTGGCTGGGCTGTCACATGAAACAAGTGCCTGTTTGTCTCTCTTTAGTACAAAAGTTTTCCACCACGCATGGATGAGATGAATCCCACTCCATATGACACACACAAACGCAGTGTGTAGCAACAGCTGATCTCTGGTTGGAGTTGGAACACTGACAAAGCATGGAGAGGTCCCAGCTGCCCTCCCTCCTCCTCCGTACCTTCACACTTGAGGCCCTGTTTGACCAGCCCCCAGAGCAGGCTGCCGCAGTGGTCGCAGAAGGTAGGGCTCATGTAGTTGTACACCTTGAAGCGGTGAGGCATGTCAATTTTGAAGCGTTCCTTCTGAAACTGAGGACAGGGAGAAGGGTGAGACACTACCCGAAACAGGAGCAGCTTCTTACAGAAAACTGCTTGGCTATTACAAAGACACGACAATTTTATCTTGAATACTCCAGACTCAACATCCCTCATCTAGCAGGGAAAGAACATGCCCGTCAGATACAACCCACCTCCTTGCAGGGCTTTTAACTACTTTTCTTGCTTAAAAGTTTCCCCTGCTACACGTCACAATACAATCTTCAAGAGACGACAGTAACGGGTTGTACAGGCAAGCACTTCCCAAATGGACGTGGCTGTTTGTACACAAGGTTTTGTTGATTCAGGAGTGTTTAACTATACTCTAAATGTATTGTTCCAGTTCTTACCATTGTGTCCCTGCTGTTGGCTGCAGTACCAGTACACCTCCCAATGATTTTATCAATACATTTCTTATGAATAGCAGCATTGCATTCTTCAAGACATGCACAAGGAAGAAAAAAAAGATTCCTTCAGACAATAAATATATAGAAGAAGGTATTCACATTTCATTAGCACACTATGAAAAACACACTCCTTTCCATCATACTACGTATACCAAAACCTTTCTTTTACATCATGATGACAATTTTTTTTTAAGCCGATTCCCCCCACTGCCTTTCATCAGAAACTCTTATTTCTAAGCTAAATCTGTCTCCATCAGGCAATACCACCAGCATTTGGTAACAGAAGGTTTGAGTTTTACCATTTGATATCTGCCCTACTGTTCAGAGTAATGCACAGAGATCTATGCTAAGACAAAAGTGCTTTTCAATTCAGCTGTAAAACCCCTCAGTACTTGTAATACATTTTAGAAAAGTTTTCACAAAAACTGCTATCATCAACGAGTACAGCTTTTCAACATGCTTATGAGGAGTATAGCTAAGTCTAAACTTGGATACTAAAAACTCAGGTAGGAATCATAATTAAACAGCCTTAGGTTACTGTGCAAAACTGATGTTTAACATCTACTACCTACAGTGATGATGCACTGTGCCGTGCACATTTACAGAAGACTTTTCAGCAGTAACTTATATCTGCAGATTCACATGGAAAGTAGTACAAGAAAAAGGTAAAAATCAACTTACGCCTACATTTGTATCCCTGCTTGTTGAGACCCCTGAAAGACAAATGATAAAGGAAGTCAGAAACGTGCATTTGCTGCAATAAAAGGTGGGTGTTTTTATTTTTACCATGTCAGCCAATCTAACCTTTGTCTATGGGAATATTTGTTCCAATTAATAAACTGGTTTAACTTCTGCTTTTCAGAATTCTCTGTCTTAGGAAAGCAAGGCTGAGAAGACAGGGTGGTGTGTTTTGATAGACCAGCAAGTTCGGAGGGAAACCCAAAGAAGACAAGGTTTCAATCACGTGGGAAATCCTCCTGATCTAACTTACTACAAAAATGGCCTTACTATGAAAGGGATGCAGCTTCCTGTTCATATGGGTCTTTACTCTGCTACCAGCCACTTCATATCTCAAAGTTTGAGCATCTGATGCTTATGGAATTTTCACCAATTATTTCTGTGGTAAAAATGTTCAAGTTCTATTTTTTAATGCAAAAGAGACAAGTATATTTCTTGGATACACCATACGAACTTACATGTCAAGTTTTGTTCCATATATCTGAAGTGAATTTTGCAGTTATTTGGCCCCTGGGGGTAGGGGAAGCTCAGTGTTTCCTTCTTACCATACAAAGTCTTTGCAGACAGAGCAAAACGTAGGTTGTCCAAAGAAGGTAGCAATAAATTCATGATTTTTGATGTAGTGGATTTTGGCTTGTTTGATAGCTCCTCTCCTGTTTATAGTTACTGTCCCCTCCTCTTCCCTCAATGACTGTTTGCAGTCTGTGGGGGAGACGAGAACACACTTTTAATACTTTAACACATCAAAGATCACTATTTGTTTCTGCAAAAGGTTCCATTTGCTTTTCTGTTTCAGACTCATGTTTCTATTTATTTTAACATCTGCATTCTCCAGACGTTCAGTCCAACAAGGGTGGAATCCATGTGTGCTTCGCTCCTAAGATGTCTGTGTCCTTGTCTGCAAGCACTTCCCTCTCTTGCTCGTTCAGAAGCCTTCAGCCAACAAGCTGAGAAGCAGCAGCACAAAAGGAGTACAGCCTTGCTCAAAAAATGACAACCACAGTTGTTGCTTGAAAAAATGAAAGCTCCTATGTTATCTAATTTGTGTATAAGAGGAAAACATTTCATTGTACACAAGAGGATCCTCTTCTTCAGCAGAAGGCTTTTCATGCTGCTGCTCCCTGTGCCCTCCTGAACCAGCACTGCAGCAGAAATGCGGGTGAAGTGCTGCAGGTCCTCCTGATCCACCACCAGACCACACTGCTGTAAGACAGGTTTCTTTCAGTCTCCAGGATCATTAAGCAGTGAGCACAAATGAGATTTTTCAATTAGCCATTTCAATTATGCTCTCTCATAACGTTGATGCTATATCTGTCGACATGTCTCAGTCGCATTCCTCTCCCCTCCTAGCCCCCACGGGGTTACAATATAGTACAATATAATACTAAAGTAACAACAGCACATACTATAGTATATAGTGTAGAATCTAATATCATATTACATACAAATTACATACTGGATTAGCCAAGAAACAAAACAGTAAAATAATTCTCAGGCTCTTGAGTCCAACTGGCTCATATAGGCCCTTCATTGCAGATTATAGTTATTTCCACTCATTTCCAAGGAAGCTTCCAAGTTTCTCTTACAAAAAAAAGTATTCTGTGTCTCAGTCTTTCAGCCTCAACTTAGACTATATAGTCTTACTTATAGATGTTGAAAGTAACAGGAGTTTGTAACAGAGGTAACCCCATGAAGGTGTATCAAGAGAGACTGGGTAACTGCTAATGTAACGCTAGGGCGCATTTCTTGTCAACAGAGAGGAGCTGCTGAGGGACAATCCTGTCCAGCAGGAAAAGATAAAGGCTTGAATCAGCAACGAGGAGCAACTGCTGACTGCATCAGCTCTGGCCAGCAGCTTGCAGGTCCCAGTCTGGAAGAAATATGGCTCACAGGTTGAAAGTGCTGCAAAGTTCATGGTAACAGCAGGAGAATCCCTTTTGCAGGGTGGGAGTTTTTACAATAACAGTAAGGAAAAATTCAGAAAAACATTTCTCCCATCATCAACATAACTGGGTTTTATTTGCTCTGTTACACCGCTGCCTTTTATCAACAGCAGTGGGAGCTTTCCTTTTTATACTGATGGAAACAGATTTGTTTCCTTTGCCATGTCACACTAACCACAGTGCCTGAGCTTATGACAAAGTTACCCAGGAGCTCTGTTTTTCTTGTTGCTACCTGCACTTGGATTTTGTAATTTTATTAGCTGGCTACCACCACTGCTACTCCAACAGGCTGCTGAAACTGGAATCCAATCTATCATTTGATACCATTTCAAGTGTCCTGAACGAATTTATCAATGACGGCCAACAGCAGCCAGGCTGCATCAGCATGTACTGTCTTAGAACAGAAGGGACAATGTCTGCTCAGAGATTAAGGAAAGATTAAGCATATTAGTGAAAAGAAAGATCAAAAAAGGTCCCTGGATTTTGCCACTAGGTATTATATATGTGCTCTTCTGAGAAACTGGCCATCTGGCTCAGAGAGAAATCCATCCTGCCTCACCCGAAAAGAGCTCACAGCAGGCATTACAACACCCAGGCACGATGTACACCACTGAGTTACCTCTTCTCCTCCAGGAACAGAATTCATTTCTGCAGCTCAAACAGGCTACTGAGTTCACCCCACAGAAACTCGCTGCTGCACTTCAGGTTGTCGAGGTCTGCAAACAGAACTCTCTCTCTTTAACCCTGCAGAGCAGATACACAGACCTCACCCACTGCTCCTCAAATGCTCCAGGGAAACCACACACCGAAACGCGCATGCAAAGAAAACACCGTTGTTGAGAGCTGGTAATATTTCATATCGCTGCATGAAACAGATGCCTTCATAGAGATGATTTTATCAGTAATAGCGATAAAGCAGAGAAAGGCGTGTTGCCTTATAGCATGTATTCTCAGGAGATCACCTGCGACAGAGCAGGTTAAGGGACAAAAGCCTCCCTAAAGTCTGTTAAACAAGTGAAACAAGCAAACCGGCTTTTTATTAAGGAACTAACAGGATTCACCAGGTGAACAGGACACAGCCTTTCCTCATGCTGAAATGTTTGTAGCAATTCAGTATTGCTGATACTGTGTGCAGAATTCTCTGACAAAACGTGATCAGGATTTGGGAACTTGTGGTGTTTCCTCCCTGCCTGGGACACTGACATCAACCTTAACAGAAATACATTAGACTGGCATCCATTTTTTGAGAGAGTAATTAATAAAATAATAACTTTGTTTGTACAAAGAAAAAAAAAGAAGGCAAAACAAAACAAAAGGCCACCTTCCTTAAACATACTAAACGTACTTTAACAGTGAAGAATCCAGCAAAACTTCTAAATCTGCATGTGGGAGCACAGAGTCTTCACAACCAGCTGCCTCATTAAATACCTTTGCCAAAACCAACCAGTATATCAAAGTATAGCTAAAAACATTTTTGTATGCTTCCAAAGAAGCTGAGAGGTTTGGACAGCAGCTGTAATTCATGTGCACCTGAAGTTGAGATAGATGGCTCTGAAATGATAGCATAGTTCGTTTCAATTTACTGCGTGTGTGTTTAACAAGTGATCTTTAATGTGTACATTTCCTTTAATGTGTTTGGTCCAGAAGTTTTAAGAAGTTCATCCAACCATGGACTCAACTGGGGAATAAAGGCTTCACCTCAAAGATGCAGAGAGAATTAAGACTTGCAAGGAAGTGAATTTCCCAACAACTGTATGGGTGCAGGGGAAGGAGGATGGGGGGAAGAAGACTCACAAAGAAAAAGCCTTTGCTTCCCCTCCAAGCAAGCCAGGATTTCCACAGATGAAACGCCTGTCCTCAGCTAGCACACGCTCGGAAACAGTCATATACAAAACAGCTGAATCAGCAACTAGAATCCCGGTGACCTCTGCCTGGACCTGGAATTAATCATGTTGGACCCAGCACACACCATTAAATATAATCTATTTCCTCTATTGAGAGCTGTGGTTAATATTTATCCCTGACACACTGTTCATGTATTTCAAGGTCCCTTCTCAAAACCCACAGCTGATCTGAACTCCTCCGTGCTGTATATTCATTAAGGAACCGCTAAGCGCGCCTGTGAATTGACAGTGCAGCTCTCCAGAAGTGCTGTCAATGTACCATTGTATACGCTATTTAATTGTGGTGCCACTCCTGAATATTTCACAGTCCTTACAGCCACTGACATAACATGCAACCCACAGTCTGAAAAACATTTGCTAAAACAACATGGCCTTTTGAACCACAATAAACCTCAAGGCGAGATGTCAAATTATCTCAACTGAATCTCAAAGGTTCAAGGACAAAAGCAAACAACCTCCAGAACAGCCCAACTAGATTTTTTAACAGAAAGAACAGAAAAAATATTTGTCATCTTCAGCGTTCTTTTTTTCATTTTACCTTGCTCATTTCACAGTTCTGTTTGTGAACAGAGGAAAGAAAACAGTGCTACTGTCAGAAACCGAGAACTGGGACTTCACTTCAAACAGGGACAGGCAGAACATTTTCTGAGTTAACTGGCTGCTCAAGTTGAGATTTGCCTGGAACTTGTTTATAATGACAAAACCTACTCATGTTCAATGTCCCCTTCTGCTTTTCTACTGCTTTGCACTTGGCTTTGTTTGAAAGTTAAGTGTGTCTTCAGGTCAAGAAAAACATTAATCTCACAGAGCAATCATTAAAAAAAGGAAAGCTTATTCCTCACAAAGGAGAATTCCCTTGTATGAACTGTCTCAGGAAAGCTGCTCTTTAACCTGCTCCTGGAGAAGACTGCTTTACAGATTTTCTGTACAAAAAATCCCAACAAGCTATTTACAGAAATACAAGTTTCCCAGAAGTAAACACTTCTGTAACATGAACTCACTATGTGAAGTCATTTTGGGTTTCTGCGATCACCACAACGTTTTGTTTACAGGCAGACTATTAATATTGCTATGTATTTTTTTAGATGCCCTCCATTCTCAGTACTTTTAGATTTTACACTACTGACATTGAAGTAACAATACCAATAATTTGCTATTGTATGAGTCAATAATATTTGCTCTTAAAGCTGGCACATAATCTCAAATTGCTTATCACTGCCCCGAGAATTTATACTGCACACTTTAGCATGAGCAGTCAAAAAACAGTGTTACAAACCCTTAGTAGCACCCTTATGAAAAGTTACGTGTACTAAATGTGATAGTGTACATATTTCTACTGTAAGAAAAAACTACAAGTATGTTATGCGGTGCTGTGCTCTGCTCTGCGCAGAGATTGGGACACACCTGGGACACAGACTTCTTGCCTGCTCCTCTGAATGCATGGATGAAGCGCTGCCTAGGCCCCTGAGCCAGCCCCTGCTGCTGCTACGACCGGAGCACCGAGGTGCGCTGCTCTGCTGCCACTGAACAAGGCGTTCATAGGCATTCACTGAACTCGACAGGCTTTTAGAGAAGTGCTAAAACAAAATACCAGAGTTTTAACAAGCCCTGCCTTTCAGTCCAGGCAAAAAAACCCCCACGACTACGCTATAGTCATAGTGCTTCCACCATTTGCAGAGCTGCTGTGCTAACAGTCGGTGCACAGCTGTACAGAGTACTTTTATTTTTAATTTCAATGTGTGTTTTGGTTAACAGTTCTGCACAGCTACCTGATATCTTGTCTGTTGTGGTAAAACAAGGAATAACTGGAAAACAAGTTCTCTTTCTTATTTTGTAAATTACAAAGGCACAGTAAAACCAACCTTTAAAAGTACAGCATCTGAGTCAAAGTTCTTGTGAACATATAAACGATACCAAATTTTCTCTGCTCTACACAAACCACATGTACTGCCAACTTTGTGTTTGTGAAATTACTATAACTGCAAATATTAGATTTTTTTAAAGAAAATCAGGCCAGAAAAATGTTTTTATTAAATTCATGCCTAGTACTTTTATATGCAGATTAAAGCAGATGCTAGGTGCCACTGAATAACTAACACATCTGCGACATTTCCAGCAATAGTATTTTCTCAGTTAAATTATTAAATCATACCAGCTTCCCCATTTACAATTATACGGTCCAGTTCTGACTTTTTAGCCCTCATCATTATTATTTACTCATAATGTGGCAATTCCTTCCTCAACACACCACATCCATACAGAAACTTACTTCAAATCATAATTTAGCCCCATACAATATGCAGATTGATAGCAAATCTGTTATTTACCTGAGACCTCCATGAAAAATAGTAAGAAAAATTCTAACATCTCATGCTTCCCCAACACTCATCTCAACACACACAGAGAAAAACATATTCAAAATATATGCAGCTCTCTGGTTCACATTGTTCTCCCAGAATTCAGACATTTGAGGTATCAAAAGTTCACATGGAAATTACTCACCTTCTGATACACCTAATAGCATTTTACGGAAAGAATTCACTAAGCCTTTCTTCAGGAAGCTGAAGCAAGCAACACAGCAATCCAAATTCAAAACCAAGACACAAACACTGCCACAGCCTCCAAAGCTGCCAGCACCGCACAAGATGCTCAGCAGCACCACGAGCCACCACTGTGATCCTGGGTTTTCTCACTCAATAAGGTCATTAACTACATTTGAATAAGCAAAGATCTTCAAGCATTAAACATATTGCAACTCCCACCTATTAAAACTAAAGCTGCTTTACAAAATTATAACACAGTCTCAATACTACAAGAGAGAGGGAAGGGCAGAAAGAACACAACTTTTGAAATGAAAACAGGCGTCAGCACCTTGTTCTCGTGTTTCACACATCAGGAGAGAAACTTTTAACTTCTAGCACAAATTTATTTCCAAGTCACACAACAGAAGACAAGGAAGTTCTTTGACAGATCTAAGCCAAGGCTCTGCAGTCCCTGTTTTACAGTGACTAGAAACAAAAATCCCCTCTAAGACTGGGAACACGTTTCATACATAGCCCTAAATTAACTGCCCAGGCAAGAAGAATATACAAGTAAGATGTCTTGGTGTAGCCTACCATGGAGCAACTTTTAATACCTGTTTATTCCATGAAAATTGTTCTCTAATAATAAATCTGGCAGCGGAGCAATAACACACTTCCTTCTCAATACCGCTGCCTACCATCAAAGCAGAGAAAAGCAGCTTTATCTAAAGATGGCAGAGTGTTTGCTACTTCCAAAGAAGGGTTTAAAAATAGCAGTTTTAGTTTGCAGAACAAGCCCAAGAAAGAATTAATCACATTTGCAAAGTGTTTGGAGATTGTCAAACAACAGGTATCACCTATAACTCAAACATACTAATGGTAGCAATACCTTCAAATAAACTAGGGAACAAGTGAAATACCAGTTTCAGAGCAAGTCTTTTTTGGTATCTTAGAAATACAGCTACCATACACTTCTGTATGGAAAAGCACATCAGAGAGAAAACAAAATGGTAATTGCACAAGGGAGGAATGTGGACTGTCGCTGAGCTATCAACTATTAACTAAGGGTCTTAGCAACGTGAAGAATGGCAGTTCATACAAACATCCATGTAACGCGCTAACAAACTTCTCAACTCTAACACTAGAAACTGCTAATTTAACTAGAGAAGACATATACAGCAGTGCAATAATGAGCCAAAAATCATTCAATGTTTGCCTGTCTAGCAATATACAGATAGAGGTGTGAGGGAAGTCTATAATTTTAAGGAGGATCAGTATGTTCAAAAGTATTGATGCTCGATGTGAGCACTGCAACTATCAGATTGAGTGACTTTCCTTCACAAAATGTGGATGTATAAGTGTCCTGAAAGATGTGTAAATCTCTTGATGCAAAGTAGAAGGTCTAACAACAGCCTTGACATACTGCTCAACTTTCCAATTAAAGTATGATTGCACAGCTTACTGTTCTTTTTGGTATTTAGGCTTCATCCAATACCATCTGCAATCCCTAATAAAGGCAATGAAAAGAACTGCAATAATGTTGTATTTACTTTTAAATTATTTTGATCAGTTACTAAGTACAATTATTTTAGTGCTTGGAGCACATAAGTATTTTACCTCCCTACTAACAGCTAACAGGAAATAATGGAAGGTTTTCACTTATGTCATCTCTACTGTTCCTCATGTCTGTGTGGAGAGGAGGAAATATGCTTCAGCCTCATCAAATAAGTAACTGAGAATACTGAAGTTGGGTTTGTACAGTTTAGGTTCAGAAACCTTTACGTTTTCTGGACAACTGGATTTCTATATGTCTCATTAAATAGATAGATTCTCATAATCCCACTGCCCCATGAAACTGCTTTGCACAGGAAAGCCATGACCAAGACCAAGATGAAGGTTTTCTAATATAAAGGCTCACGACAGTCAGAATACAAACCAGAATATTACTGGGGGATAAGCAGAGAACTGTTGATCTTCAGAGAAACACTCTAATTTACAGGCTCTTTGGTCACACTTTTTTTTTTAAATTTTGCTTTAAAGAGTTAACTTTTCATAAAGGAGACCAAAATAACGAGTATATGAGCTGGTTTTTTGCCATTGCAAAGATAAAATATGAGCTCTGAAATGTCACCTACCACATAGCCCATTCTATCTTTAGCAGCTTTTCTAGGAACTGCTACACAAACCGCACATAAGGTAAAGAAATGTATAGTACCTTCATGATTAACTTGTTATGTGAGAGCAGAACTATGTTCCATGTCTGTATCTGGCCAAAACAAAACCCCAAAACACCAATGCTTGAAAACTTACTGCTCACTCTTTCAGTTATTAATTACAAGCACATAGTATTTAACTGTCTAAGACCAACAGGCTAATATGGCAGATCAGTTCAATTCCCAATAAATAATGGCTTCGTGACTTCTCACATGGGAAAGTTTTAACTACCAGCTAAGCAAGTTTGAGGTTTACATCATTTCCTCTAGGAAAGAATTCCACAGATACACAAATCCCTACCAAAATGTTTGTTTTTATTACTGTACGTAAATCTTTCCCTCTCCTAATTAACTATCTTCTCTTACCTCCTAGCTTCTTCTTCAAATAGTGTGTGTAGATTTCTGACACAGAGGTGCTTCACTTTTTAAAGTGACATGGCAGAACATTGATTATATTTGCATTTTAACCATTAAGCATTCACTTATTTAAATGGTTAGTGAATATGATATCTAAATCACACAAAACTCACAGCCAGTTCCCCAATCCACAAAAAAGTTCTTCAAATAAGCTAGAACAAGAGACTTAACTTCTTTGAACCTAAAAATGAACTGATATTTTGTCTATCACATCAAAACATGAGGACAGATATATTAAAGACCCAAAAGTGGCTAAATGCAATAGCAATACAGGGCAGAAAGGCCATTAGAAATTAAAAAATGCAGCCATGACTCCATATAACAAAAAACCCCTATAAAACAAATTAATAAAACCAGAAAATTCTACTCAGTAAACCAGATGATGTTTTTTGTGACCTACATCCTGTGTTCTACAAAAGGAATGGTAAGAAAAAAGTTTTATTTTTACATAACTGACTGAAAACAAACAGTTGATTTTACCTGTATCTTCCAAAAAATACTGCACAGCCATCAGCACCTTCCCCTGAGGTTGTAGGTCAAGCTATGGAAAGAAAGATACCAACAGTGAAGTATGTGGTTGACTGAAACTCTCAGAAATTTAAATAGTTCTTTCTAGGGAATCAAAGTATAATATTCAATGACTATTGGATCACAACACTCCTCCATCTCACTGCTGCAGCTGAACCAGGGGCTTTTATTCTCTTGCTTTTACTGGTACGTTGCGTTGCTTTGATGTCTACTCAGAAGTTCAGCACAAAGTTCACATTGGTTTTGCACGTTACTTTCCCAGTTCTGCAAAGAAGTTTGTTGGCTGCTGTTTTTGCTATTATTAAACTTGATCTGCACAGGAACCCGGTTTTAAAAGGTCTATACAATCTTTCATATGGTTATTTAGAGTACAAACCATAAAATATTGTTGCTTATAACAAAAATACAGTGGTATCATCAAAATTTATTTTACTCCCCCCACTATTACATGTGGTTCCTGTGGCAAATTCTACAGACCAAATGCCTTTTAAGCCAATAGCTGAGGTTAGTTCCTGTGCTCAGAAAGCAGCCGCTAATTCTTACACTGCTGTCTCCTTAAAAGGGAAGAAGCTATTAGGCATAGAAGAGTCTGATTCAGTCTTCACTTCAACACACAGCAAAGTATCCCTGGGTCAACAGTAAATTCAACTCGGGAGGAAGAAAAAAAGAAAAAAAGGAAAGAAAACCACAATTCTGCAGTCTGCTTGGTTAGATAGATAAATTTGCACATACTCGGAGTAAAATCCTGCCATTTACAGCAAAAAATGGACCTGAGAGCCTTGGGGAACACCGCCTGTGACTGGTCACCAACTGGGTTTAGCTCCATTCACCACAACTCTCTGTGCTCCCATCCAGCCAGTTTTTGACCCAGCAAAGTCTGTCCCCGTCCAAGCCATGCCCAGCAGCTTCTCCAGGAGGATGCTGTGGGAGACGGTGTCAAAGGCCTTACTAAAGTCCAGGTAGACAACGTCCACAGCCTTCCCCTCGTCCACCAAGCAGGTCACCTCGTCATAAAAGGAGATCAGATCAGTCAAGCAGGACCTGCCCTTCCTGAACCCATGCTGACTGGGCCTGGTCGCTTGGTTGTCCTGCATGTGCCGTGTGATGCACTCAGGATGATTTGTTCCATCACCTTCCCTGGCACCGAGGTCAGACTGACAGCTCTGGAGTTCCCTGGGTCTTCCTGTAGATGGTTGCCACGTTTGCAAGCCTCCAGTCAACTGGGACCTCCCCAGTCAGCCAGGACTGCTGGTAAATGATGGAAAGTGGCTTGGTGAGCACTTCTGCCAGCTCCCTCAGGACCCTGGGGTGGATCCCATCTGGCCCCATAGACTTGTGTATATCTAAGTGGTGTAGCAGGATCTCCTCATGGATTATAGGGGCTTCACTGTGCTTCCCATCCGTTTTCCCACTCAGGGGGCTGGGTACCCAGAGCACTACAGTGGCACCAGTCTCTGAGCCAGGCGTTGATCTGTTGGCTTTTTCTGTTTACTGCCTCAGATCTCCCTGCAACTGGTGGGATAGAGCAGAACACTACTCGTGCTCCCGAACTGTTAACCAGCCATCCCAAGCCCTTGAAATCACTCTTTATTGTTCTCAAACTACTTGCTGTAATCTCATCACTGCCTACCTGAAAGGCCATCAACGGGTAGCAGTCAGAGGGTTTAACTAGGGTAGGGAGTTGTCTTTTAATGTCCCTGACCCTGGCTCCTGGGAGGCAGCAGACTTCCCTGAGGAGTGGGTCTTGTCTGCACATGGGACCTTCCACTTCCTTCAGAAGCGAGTCCCCTATGACAAGGACCCGTCTGTCTCTCTTACTTGAAGCCGTTTTTATGCGTGGCTTCCTCTGATTGAGCCTTGGCGGTGCCTCCGAGCTAGGTGAGTTGCCTTCTCGCTCCTTGTTCGGTTCCCCTTGTAGAACATCATACCTGTTTTGCAAGGGCACCTAGGAAGGTGGAGCAGTTACTGGGGGGAGGGCACGCCTGCCCCGCCTGTAGCACTGGGAAGAAACACGTTTCCATTCCCTATCCTCTAAGTCCATCCGTTTGCTTTCCCCTCTCTCTAGATGTACAAAACAAAAAATACTTTGTATTTTAAATTTTATATTTATTTGAGGTTTACAGTATGAAATTAATATGTAGTTTTATGTAGTTTGACAACTAGTAATAACAACTGGCATTTACACTAAATGTGTATATCTAATTTTAAAACAATGTGAAACCCTAACTTTACTTCCCCTGTTGTATTTTTCACTTTGACTCAGAATTGTACTCAGCAAACTACATCCTGCAAGATGCCATACCCCATGACTTCACATATGAAAAACTGTTTGGGACACAGGGGCAAGAAAAAGTATCAAGATGACAAAGACGGGGATTAAAGGATTCTCATTATAGTACTATGAAGCCTACTGAAATTTATTGTAAACATAAATTTTAAAAAAAATTGAAATTCTAAGAAGAATTGCCTTGGAATAAGCTTTACCTTTCTTTTTCTCTAGATACATTGCAATGATAAAATCCATTTTAAATATCTGCTATTTGTTATAAAAACTGCCAAGCTTTATAAAGTAGATGCTCAAAGTGATATATGCCATTATTTCAAACACTAATGCCATGGGTAATATTTTCAATTTCTTGAACTTTGATTGTGCATTATCTGCTTTAAAAATGCTGCTAAAATAACTGTCTTACAAGCCCCACCAGACATGCTAAAGGGATCGAACGCTCATAGTTTAAAAAGCCTAAGGCATCCGTTCAGCTTGACTGAAATTTAAGGAGGCCAGCAAGTTTAAGAAACAATCTTTATCCTTACCCAGAATTCTGCTTTGCCATTGCCTTTCTTGCACCGCTCTGCCAGGACCGACACACCTACAGTCACTTCAGATAACGGCTCTTCTGCTGCTTTCATGAGAACAATCTGAATCACCCTTCCTTCATAAATGTGGGCGTCAAAAGTGGATTTCCATTCTGGATACATGGTAGGTTTCTTCTGAACTAGAGTTTTTCCTCTCTCTGAAAGCCACAAAAAAAGGACAGTCTGTAAGATCAAATAATGTAGACCTAGTACTTAAACTCCATAAAAGAAAACAAAAGAGAGAATTCTTGAACTGAAACAAAAAAAGTCAACTTACAACTTCTTGTACTGTGGTTGGTACACCAAGTTTAAATAGTTCAAACATTCATGACTGTGAAGGCAGCGCGCACCCTGACCAACACAGCACACAAGGGCAGTGAAGGTGTTAATGTGCAGCCAGAGAGACCAGGAGGGACAAATCCCACTCTGGAATTCAGAAGCTGGCTTAGTCAGTCACAGCTCGAGAAGGGTTATTTGCACGGCTGCTTTCTGGTATCAGTCTCCATGAGGTGCTGTCTGATCATAGTGAATACCTGCTGCTGTAAGATAAACTGAGATACATCTTACACTGACCGAGTTTAAATTGAAACCCGTGGCTGAGAGATTAAAAGCTCGACATTTCATTAATCTACTTCCGAGTTATCCCAACATTTCACTTCTATTCATAAGTCACTCTCCTTGGCATTGTACTCACTCTCTGCCATGATTGCTGCTTTTTAAAGGATATGACAAGGCCTTATCTATCCTCTCTAGCACACGCAAACCTTGTGTAGTTAAAGAGTAAGGAAAAGGCTGAAAGGACCCTCAAAAAGGTCCTTTTTTTTGTCTCTGCAGACTTCTTCCTTAGGAGTTTTATGGTGCTTCACTATTCTTCTTAGATGAATTTTTTTTTCCTTATGCACAGCTTCAGTCTCTCTTGCTACCATTTAAGCTAATTTCTTCCTGTCCTTACCTCAGGAGCAGAAAATAGCTGGTTATTGCACAATCTATAATGAGCTTTAGCGTATTTCTAAATCTGGGTCTTAGTAGTCCCACCAATGTTTCCAAAATGATACTGCCTCAACGAGCACCCGCATCCAGCTCTTCACTGTGACTCTGGCACATGGTGCCAGTTTTCCTCTGTGATTTGCTACCGAGCCAATTATTCCCCACCTGCGCTTAAGTAATTAATATAATTTTGTACATTCTGCACAATTTCTGCTATTTATCAAGATCATTTGCTGCAATAAAAGTGCTTTCTAAGTACCTTTTCAGCTCTGAATGATCCATTTTTCCCCTAAGCATGTGGTCCTAAAATTTGGAATAGAATTTCCATTCACTTTGACAAAGGAAGAATTAGGTACTGATTGTTTAAAAATCTTCCTGGAATCTCAAGGCAAAGTTCGTGTTTATCATTAATAACTTGCTCAACGCACTCCACTCAATTGTGCTGAGCTATCCAAACGAGAGTAGCAAATAGCGTCCTTGTACTTCTTTATTGGGGAATGCCTGCCAACAACAGCATTAGGAATTACAGCTTTGACAAGCAGACCTCAGCCTGCCAAAGGGCATTCTGAAACGCTCACAAGCAGCCACCTGAGGTTCTCCTCCATCTCAAAGAAAACTTGAGCATACCTCCTCTACTCAATCAAAAGCTTTTACCTTTAATCTGCGGAGCTCTGCAGAAGAAAAAAATGCTTAGCAGTGCAAACCTACTTCCAGAGCCCTCTCTGCTTGATACTGTTAACTATGGAAGAATTTCAAAATATTATGGTGGGAATGTACAGGGAAAGCTCAAACATAACACAATTTAGGGATTATTAGGACGAACAATAAAAGTGAGGGAGAATTACAAGCAAGCTGTCTGCACAGAAAGGCTTTTACACTAGCCTACTTTTTGGATTGCTAAAGCCAGACTCCTTCACCAAAAAGGCACGCTTTAGGAGGCATCCTTGGGAATATGAGAAATTGCACTTATTTGCAGAACCCTTGACAATAATTCAGAAGCACCAGCAGTTTATAGAAGAGTTGGTAACACTCTTTGCGGGATTCTTAGAGGGGGAGAGAACTATCTCAGTCTCTTCACAGGACTCTTCCTATTCCCATGTCCCAAGTAATATCTGCTTTGATCAGTTACTATAAACATTTTTATCCTATGTAAAACTGAAAGAAGTAATGTGAATTACTGCTACAACTTCCACCCTGGCCATGCTGGTTTTGTAATTAAAATCGTACTAATTGAGATTTGTCGTGGAACACACCGCCTGCCTGCAAATGAATGTGCAAGTGTCAGCAAAGAGCAGCCTTTCAGAAGAACACCATTCTCACCACTCCTGTATTCAGGCCTCCTTTGTTTCTCTGCTAACGCTACTGGCTTCAAAACATTTTACATGTTTACAGATTGGCTTAATGCCTAAACATTAGGCAAATGATTTTCTTCTTCCTATACAATAAGCTTTTCCTTAGTCATGTTTTAGCATGCAAATGCAGCAAAAGTTGTTCCACATTTTGTCTTGATAATGGGAGCATCAGTTTCTTTTCCTGATTACCCCTATCAGCTCCAAGGTTCACCCTCTGCCACCATTTCTTAGTACTTCAAAGACACATGCAAGCAAAGAGGAGAAATGCTGGGACAATTCTAGGTTACAAAAGGAGACGGCTGGGGGAAAAAAACCCAAAAAACCACAACAAAAAAGTGGAAATATTTAGACCACTTCCACCTCTCCACACATTCTGGCAGCTGCAACACTTCCAAGACGGTGCCTTCAGAGGTTCTCCCTACGGACCAGAAAACTGCTTCTTTGGAGCTCAACGCATTTGCCTTATGACAACATTTTCTGGAAGACGCCTTGTGTTTAAACTCTAAATGCAGCTTTTACCTCAGCGATACGGGGAATGCCTGATCATGTTGTGAGAAAGAAGAAAATTCACCCTTTCCTGCCTCCTTTGATGTTCTGGGAAGCCCTAGAGCCATAATGCAGGATTGGATGGCTGTGGTCTAACCCAGTATGGCAATTCCCTCTCATCCTGTTTGGCTACAGTGATGTATTCTAGCTAAATGTCACAAAATATTATAAACCTTTGGGCCAGTGTCTGTAAAGAAGCAATCTTTGAAGTCTGAGGCCCTGCTGAATAGAGACGTCCTAACAAGACCTTGGGTACAAGTCTTTCCAAGCAAATAATTCTGCCAAAATGTCTCAGTTACTACAACAAAAACCAAACTACAGTTCTCATAAGTACCTATCCTCCAAGTCAATAAAGGTCATTTACTACTCTGTGCTTGAGGATGGCTTTCTCCAACCCGCTGCAGTTCAGATCCCTCTTCATGGCACTCTCTCCCCTGCAGAGCTCTTGGAAGTGCAGCCTGTCGCTTGCAGAACTGGAGAGAACAATGTCTTATTTTGTATTTTCAAACCTTTGTCATGCAAAATTCACAACTCCCCTTAACCCATGCAAGTGACATTTCAGCTGCTTCACCACATACTTAGTGATTATTTGTGTGTTGATAGTGAAGTAAGAAACCAGAAATCTTGGACTTCACCCTACCAAGTGCTGAGCACTGTGGCTGCAGGACAAGAAAGCACAAATAAATCTCATTTTAAGGTGGGGATTTAGACAAAACTAGTTGTTATTTCTCCCATTCTGAAAGAAAAGCTCACGTTGAAGTGCTTGGCGTAACGGAAACGGCAGGACTCATTACCATTCACAGACTGAGAGGGATTGCAGTATTTCTCAAAGACTTACCTATATTCAGAAAAGCATCATCATTTGTAACCTCACCTGTAGTCAACGCTTCCTTCATCTTGATAGCACAGAAAGGCTGTAGTTGTTCCTCTTGATTCTCCATAGGTCCCAGCTCAAATGAGTTGAAAGATATCCGTAAGAAGGGGGCCATTGCTCACTGAGATACACAACCTAAGTGGAAAGAAGTAAATAAACATCACGGAATAACATGCCTGGTCTGAGACTGATAAGAAAGCGATACACATTTCTCAGCAGCCATCGTGGCTGATAGAACCCATTCTCTCAAGTTTGCAAGTCTTGAATGTGGCTTTGAGACCATGAGCCTGGTACAACCATGTAGAATACATTTTGAATAATCCCACCATCTTCCTCATTTCTGATGGCCAAATCACGTGAAGGCCACATTTTCAGCTCTCCTTTTTAGTTTTGAACATGGTTATTTGTTGTAGTTTCATCGTACTTGGCTTCAGTGCAACCTCAATGCTCGCTCAGAAGTGCTACACACGAGCGTTCAGCAGTCAGTAGAAAACACCAATATCCCAGGATTTCTTATGATGTCCAAGGTTGCTGTGAAAGGCAGAAGATACCTTTTTGCCTTTCCATTTAAAAACAACTTTAAAGAAATCCAAACCCAAACTCAACAGTTTACTTTCATAAAACAAACTACCTGTTCTTGCCAACTTCCTCTACACTTAGACATTATGGTTTTGTACACAAAAGTAGAGATTTTAAGTGGCGTCCTGCAAAATCTCACTATACATGATAGACTATACTGTGACACAGGGAGGTTAAGTGAGAAGAGAGGGTCTGGATTTGTTCCTTGGATACATTTTCCAGTCCTTGTCTGTGCTAAGATACTGCAGTGAGGTAGCTGACAAGCATCAGCTGTACTGCTGTAAACAAAAACATACCCACCCAAACTGGCTTTGGCAGAGAAACTCAGTGAAAGAGGTTCAGTTTAATGTAACAAAGTTTCTCTTTCCTGCTGAATACACTCATCCAAAGTACTTCTCACACTTGAAGAGCAAGAGAATTGAAAGCAATACATACGTTCGCTTGTTGCATTTTAGACAAGTCCCTCTCTAGTCTCCATTACTTTATTTCAGAAGTGACAGAGCAAGCTCTGGCTCTAGCTAAAGAGCTGTATCTGTCAAGAACCGAAACGGCTATAAAACACCAGCTAAGAATTCAAGGAGATTTTACAATCTACTCATACAACCTGTATTGCTGCTATGAAGTATTAAAGCCAGACTGTTTTCCCTGAAGAGTGTGACTTTAATCAAACCAAACGGTGGAAAAATTGAGATGTGAACTCCAAAAATAAGACATGCCTAAATTACAGGTTCAATATCTCAAACAGTTTGAAAGTTACAGGTTCAATATCTCAAACAGTTTGAAAGTCATGTGCAATTTGAAAAAAGCTAGAGGAAAAAAATCTTCTTTTAACATTATTCTATATGACGCACGTGGTGATAGCCTCACTGATCTGGAGTACACCACTGGAGTCCAGCACCACATTAGTTTTGCCCAGGATCCCTGATCTGCCCTGTTGCAACCCAAAACCACGTTCTGTGCTGTCTGGGATAGATTCTGCAAAAGCCACAGTAATCTCCATGAAGCTCTAAAATGAAGAGCTTTTGACTATTTAATATGGAAAGAAAATCAACTGTGTTACTATCAACTATAACATGCATGGAGAAAAAGGGGAAAAAGTTAAAACATCTTCACATCACCAATGTCAACGTCTACTGGATGAACAAATGCTCAGTTTTCACATGCATGTGTTTGTAACACGTAGTTTTAAAGAAATCTTCAAAATAAATGAAAATCTTAAATATACCAGGGACAATTTTCCACAAGATTGGCTAGCACAAAATTCACATTCGATTAAAAATCTGATACAAGGGACAAAGGGTAAATTCTGTCGTTTCTCCCCTTCCAACAGCGCACAGCACAGGACTCCACTGCAGCAGAAGGCGTCACTTGTCAGGTCTCCTTCGTTGCTGTAATTCTGCCTTTTTTATAAACAGTGAGGGCAAGGCACCTTTAGCACAATCTAGAAACAAAGACACGGCTGTGCCTTTTACACAGAGCAGGAAGCAACATCAAAGCAGTGGATCACCTGGAGGAAACGCTGACGCTGGCCAACAACAGAGCATTAAAGAGACTAAAAACCTAACGGACCCAACCAGAGCACAGACTTCCATCACCAATGTGGGACTAGATAGCCAACAGGAATACAAATGAGAAAACTCCCTTGCTGATCTGAGCCTCTGATTTCCCTGTAGCAGCCTGTAAAACATTCTGCCAATGGCTTTTCCATGCTGTCTTGCAGAAACGCTCTGGATGGCACGAAATGACTGCTTCCTGCTTAGCTCCTTACTGAGGCTGCTTCCAAGGCCACAAAAATGCTTTGGGGAACACCAACACTGGTAGCCAGCACCACACATAGCTGACCAATTGGTGTTCTTCCCCGAAAAGATGCAGCAGTAATGTGTTTCTTTTTCAAGATGCAAAACTGTAGATTATTTCCAACTTGCAGGTACCTTTTTTTTTTTTTTTTTTTTTTTTGTTTACACAAGGGTTTCCCATCCTCCATTTTGGCAATAGACAAGGCATTCAAGAAAGATAGCAACAAACTATTATCCAACTTACTGCCCCACAGGACTTGCAAAAAAACATGAACAAGGACCTCCTTCTTTGTGCACAGCCTACAGAGGTGATTCTGCTACTTTCAAGGCAATAATGCAAGAAAGCCTGCAAGTAGAGATGCTGAAAGTGTGATCAGCATCCTTCACCTGGGCACACATTGTGTTTTTACTGTTCCCACGCACGCTTCTTTATGCTTACGTTACAGAAAAACTCACACAAAGCAGACAGGTTGGCTGTGATTCTTGAAGAGCTCCCTTCACAGGTATTCTTCCAGCTGATGATCAAAGTAATTCCACCTGCAAGAGAAGGAACAGTACTTATGCCGCAGGCCATTTCACTGAACCAAAGTGATGATGACGCTAACCACTGACATTGTACACCTACAATCAGTCTGTGGAGAATTTTAACAGGCTCTGTTGCAGGCCCTGGCCCTCTATTTGATGCTCTGTGGGAAGAAGCGAATCTAAAAATGAAGCCAGTTTAGAAAAGGCTTATTATATTTGCTGTTATCAACCCTGCCAAGATGCACTGCAGCACTATCAGCTGGCCTTCCCTAGACGCTGCTGACTGTTGCACTACTGCTACCCAGCTAAAGCCTGAACAACAAGACTTATAACCAGCACCAAATCACCATACATCATGATGCCGAATGCTCACAGCTGCCAGAGATGGCAAAACCCCATTATCTGCAGGTATTGCTCTTGAATTCCATGGAGGCTTTGAGAAGTGTTCTCCAAAAAACAGGGCTAAACTTAAATGTTGCATGTAGGTCCCTGCAGGAAAAGGAGAATTCTCTAGAAGTACTGCCCCTGCATCAGCACCCCTCTTGATTTTATTTAGGTTTAGGTGCAACTATCTCCTATTAATGGTTTTGTTTACTCCAGCTATAAATTTGATTGTTTTGTCTATGGAAGCCAAGAATGACAATTAGAAAAATAAGTTTCTCAGCGACTACTTTGATAAACTCTTATGGAGAAGATTTTACAACAAACAAAATAAAAATAAACCTTAAAATTAGAACTGCAGATCTATACACTTATGAAAGCAAAATCTATCCAGTAGATAATATTTAACAAAACACGACTATCTTCAGGAAGTCAAGCATGAAAAGAGCATCTTTACGACAGCCCAATCACCTACAATTTCTGCAGTATTATTTCCAAAACAGTGTATCTTCATAAAATGTTTTTAAATAATTACAAAACAGGACTATGAGAAGTGAGAAAAGATGACAAGAAATTTAACAACACAACTCAATTTACTTGATGTTAAATTTATTGCAAGATGAATTTTTTTTCTGGTTCATAATTTCAAAATTATAATTCTATACACTACATTTCGGTGTAAATTCTTTACATTTCGAAGTTTGTGTTTTATTTTATTAAATAGTACACGTAGAGTAGTTCACAGAGTTCTACCAACCTAGCTTGGAAAAGAATGTAGTTACCATTTCCTTCTTGGCCCCCCCAGCATTTTCTTTCAGATACTTCTGCTTTTCTTAGGTTAGGACATGGCTAGAAACAGAAGAAAGCACATAATAAAGTCTGTCACTGTTTGTGCTGCAATAGTCTGGAGAAAACTCATCCAGATAAGCCATGTAGCAAGAGATGTTCCTTGGTTTCACCCCACTTGGCCGGAAGCAAAGATAAATTCAAATTTCCATGCCTTTTTTGCATGCTCTGCACTCCCAAAACTGCCTGAATTTATGGGGGCCATATAAATTGTTGATATTTCTCCAACACTCTCAAGGCCAAAAAAGTTACTGGTGCTTTCCCTATCATTATGATGAGAAACTTTTCCAAATAGGAGCATCAGAAACCTTTTTCTGAACAGACGAACCCTTCCCATCTTGGCAGTGCAAACTCCTGAGAAGCTCAAGGGGAATGCAGGCAGCAGAGCTGATTTCATGGCGTTTTGGAAGACACACAGCCCCATTTATTTGCGCACAGGATAACATAGGATTAGCTCAGTAACAGTTGACTGTTCTTAAAGCGGTGTCGAGTGCATCAAGGAAGACAAATCTGGGTTTTACACTAAAAGATCAGCAAGTTCAGAAGATTTTGGACTCTGAAAGAGCAGGACAGGCTGTTACACAGCATATGCTGCAAGATAAAAAAAGCATTTTACACCAAATGTCCTTTTTTGTAAATGGAAAACGAACATTAGGAGCAATCAAGTTTGCTTTTCCAATAGTCCACAACTACTACTTGGAGGGGAGAGGAGGAAAGTGCTGTCGGCTGCTTTTTCTTTAGAAATGCGTAAGAAACAGCCATTTAAATACTTCTTTTTCATTTATTTCAGACTCCCGAGTTCTCCTTCCTCTTTGAACACTGGAGTAAACAGTAGATGAAAGCACTGTAGGCACACTGGTTTTCAACATTACCAAAATCCAGTTTGAAAGACAAATGCAAATGAATCCTTTTCATTAACTTCAACCCACAACGTCAGACATTAAGAACATGTAAGGAAAGAAACACTGTCTGAAGCCCAAAAAATTTGT